TAGAATACATAACACCTGGCTCTATTCCTGGGCTTGGTGCTAATATTAACAAATGTGATTACAATCAGCCACCACCACCTGGAAAAGTTTGCGACGTGGATGTAAAAAATTGGCATCCTTGTACAAAGGAAAATAAATATAATTATCATAAATCGGCGCCATGTATTTTTCTTAAACTGAACAAGGTAATTTTTTTTTTTTTTTTTATAAAAATTAAAATGATTTAATATTTAAAATTTTTAAATGGATTCATACGGACAATTAAAATTAAGATTGATTTGAAATTAGAAATGTTTAAATACAAATGATTGATCTATTTTATAATAATATACTTATCAAAGGAGTATTACATTATTTATTGTCTATATAATAATCACAATATGTATTCTTATTTATAAAGATTTATGGCTGGAGACCGGAATTTTACAATGACACGGAATCCTTGCCGGAAAAAATGCCACTTGATTTGAAGGAACACATTGCAAGTTTAAAAGATAAAAATTCTTTAACACTCAATACAATTTGGGTCTCTTGCGAGGGTGAAAACCCTGCTGATCAAGAGAACATAGGGCCAATTAATTATTTACCACGACGAGGTTTCCCTGGTTACTTTTATCCCTTTGAAAATTCAGAAGGATATTTGAGTCCATTGGTCGCTGTTCATTTTGTAAGACCACGTAGTAAGTACAAAAAATATTATTACAATATTTATTAGAAATAAAAATAGGAGTAAAAATAAAAATAAAAAATTATAGTTAAAATTTCGTTTACAATTGTTTGTTTCTTTTTCAGCTGGTATTTTAATAAACGTGGAATGCAAGGCATGGGCCAAAAATATTAAACATAGCCGCCACGATAAATTAGGTGCTGTTCACTTTGAACTAATGATAGATTAATGTTTTAAAATGCAGATCTTTTTTTCGATTTATATTTTAAATATAAATACCTGAGCTATCATTAATTTTTATACCTCTTAGGTTCTGCATAGAATCTGACAATATATGTATTTCATCTTTAATAAATTATTACATGTTTCTAAGCATTTTTCGCCATGTAAATCATGTAGGAAATGCTTAGAGTACAAAAATAAAATATCCTGGGAATAATAGTTCCTTAAATTTAATCCTGATAAATTTTTTCTTTTTTTTCCAGTTGATTCTTTTATTATATCGATCAATGAATTAATCTTAAAGTTTTCTAAAATTATATAATGAAAACAATAATTTTGAAGAAAAAATAAAAACAATTTTATATCATAATTACTGTTTAAATAATTTCCATGTAAAATAATATGACATGTAAAGAAACATTGACAAGTATGATATAATTTATATTAAAAGTATTACGTGTTTTTTTTTTTTATATATAGCAACTGAATAAGAGTTGTTGACTAATATAAAAAAATAATATCGTATACAATACTCAATTGTAATAAAGTTTTCATAAGAATCAAATTAATGTATAGAATCTTTGCATTTGCATTTCTATTTCAGCCAATTTTTGAAATGCTCAGATTTTTTGTATAATATTATTGTACATTTTGACGAAAAGAGATCTGCATTTGATTATATACACATACACATACACACATATACATATACATACATATATATATACATATATATATATATATACATATATATATATACATATATATATATATATATATATATATATATACATATATATATATACATATATATATGTATACACACATATTAAGTTTAAGTATTGAATGTAATTAAGTGTTAATGACTAAATAATTACAAGAAAAACAAAAAAAAAAAACAAAAAAAAAACAAAAAAAAAAAAAAGACAAACTGTACTCTCGTTAGTGTAAATTTATAAGATTTTTGCACGTTCTATAGATAATATTGATGTATTTTATTATTAAAATGCACACCAAGTTTTTCAGTGAAAAACTTATGCTTTTTCAGGAAAGATTGTTGCACTTGCAAAAAAAATCCGCGGGGCGATTTTTACTTAGGTAGCGTTATTTTTTTTCTTTTTCTCTCTCTCTTTTTTTTCTTTTTTTTTTTTTTTTTTTTTTTTATATATATAAAAAATATTTCGCAATTTAATCTTCATAAAAAACAAAACGGAATAAAACAAAACGAAGAATACTTCGCTAGAATTTAATGATTTACATTTTGAATAGATCACTATTGTCTATATATGCATGTGTGTGTCTATATATATATACATACATACATATATACGCGATTCATTTTATTTAGTTGTAATATTTCTCGAGTACAATTTCTAACTTACAACCAAATTTAAACGATCATTCAGTATTATTAAGGCCATTTAAATAAATATCTACTTTGTTAATATAGGATATGTGTTTTAAGGAAAAAAAAAGCCCCAGAAAATAGGACAAACTGCCGAAACCAATGTTCTTCCCCGAAAATACACATATATATATATATATATATATATATATACATATATATATACATATGTATATTATTTCACAAAAAGAAAAGAAAAAACCAATTATAAAATAACCACAGCGTTGGTTCATATAATTCCAATGAATTACAGGCATTTTTACTTTCGTCCTTTATATACACATATATATTGAAACAATGATTTAAGATTTTGTATGAACAAAAAACAAAACTCACTATATTTGCAAAAATATTTGTCTGTTTTTGAGCTCCTCTATTACATAGAAAGTTTTATAAAGAATTTTTTGATGAATTTCTAATAACAATGATTTTAAATATATATAAAAAAAAAAACCAAAATACAGTACTACATCAGAATATTGTTACAATTATTTTGTAAAATTTATAAATATAATAACAATATTTATAAATTTTCCAATTATCAAATTATTTTTATGTCAGAATAAACTCACGAATGAGTACAGTGCTATCTAAATGAAAAAGAAAACATTTTATATATATATATATATATACATATATATATATATATATATATATATATATATATATATATATATATATATATATACGCATACGTATATATACAGAGTATTTCTAATCCAACGGTACAACTGAATGGACGGTGAATCTATATGAAAAAAAAATCCAAAATCTTAAATAGTATAACATTTTTATACAAATCTTTAAACTCAATTTATTTAAAAATAAAATCACTTTACAATTTCGATTAATTTTGATCATATAGATATATATATAGCCCCTTTAGAGTTATATCGGTAGATTAAAATAACTCTATATATTTATATATACAGTCTATAATGAAATTTTTTATTATAAAAATCTTGATCTGCAAAGAGATATATTTTCAAGTGCCTTGAAATTTAGAACCTCATTGTAATCCTTTAAATATACATTTTCTTTTATCTGCGATTATTATATTTTTACACAATTTTATGATATAAAACTAAAATGTAATAATAAATTAATGTGTACTTGCCAAAAAGTTCAATAAAATTCTGTGTTCGAATTAATTAATTTTTTTTTTCTTATTAACAAGCATTATTTTAAATGTCATTTCTGTTCATTCGTAAAATATAATTAAATATCGAATTGGTGGTTTGATACATTTCATTATATTATTATATTTAATGTCATTACATAACTTTCTATTTATATAATGTTAACTTATTAACTTTATCTCTAATTAATCTTTGCGAATTATGATATTTATAATATGATTTTGAAATTATTAATTATTAATTGTTATTAATTATTTAATGATCAAACGATGAGAAAAAGAAATATTTATAATATGATTCTTACATTTCGATTTTTGTTCTCTTTGCATTTTCGTAAGTACATATCCCTTTAGAGAATGTATTATTAGAAAGTATTTATAATATGTAAAAACTATCTTTATATATATATACATACATATATATATATATATATACATATATATATATATATATACATATATATATATATATATAGATATATATATAGATATATATAGATATATATATATATATATATATATATATATATATATATATATATATATAGATACATAGACATATATACATACATACACACAAAATGTCATTATGTAACATAATTACAAATTACAATTCAACTTTTTATGAACAATTCTAACAAAGGGATTATAAGTACATAAAATTACAATATAATTCCTACACCCATATAAGATACATTTTATACATATGTAATTAGTTTCTACAATCAAATCTTAAAATCTAGTATAATTAATAACAACAATGTGATGAATATATTTTAAAATTGCATCAATTTTTTGATTTTTATAACAAAATTTATAATTTTTCGAATGAAGATCTTCTTTTAATATATTGGTAATGTGAAATTCCAAATTTAAAATTATAATATACAATCTTTCGAAAAATTATTTATTGTTTTTGTTATTGTTCGATGAAAAGAATATAATAAATGTGATCATTTATAATTGATATCAACAGCTGTGAAATGCAATGTATGAAAGTTTCTCTAAATAAAGGGAAAAAAAAAAAACTATTAAGTTTAAGTCGAGAATTAAGAACTCTTTGCAAAGTATTATTTAAGTTTCAATACAAAAAAAAAATAGAAAACAAAAATAAAATTAAGTCATTAGTACCTCTCCACAAAAATAATGCTGCATATTAAGTTATACAAACAATACATATATATATATATATATATATATATTGCACATGTATATGTATATGCATATGTATACATAAATATAAATACATATACATATATACATATATATACATATACATATACATACAAGATATTTATATCATTGAAAAATTAATACCTATTGTTTTGTGTACTATGACTATTTCTACGTTCTCCTTTCATTATTATCATTATCTATAACAGCTGTTTTTCAAGCATTATTAAAAAGAAAGAGAAACAAAAAAAAAAAAAAAGCAAACCTAAATTTTTATTGTATAATCATTATCGCGTTATTACCTATGGAGATAACTGCAAGATGTCAGAAAATGCTTATATAAAACAGGACTTGTGTGATTCCTCTTTGATAACTAGATAACGCACGCATTCATATTTTTTTTTTTTTTTTTTTTTTTTTTTTTTTTGTAATAAGCTATTACAAAATATTTCTATCGATCGATAAGTTCATTGGCACACTTTTCGCTATTGTAGAACACATAGGATATTAGGCAGATTAAAATTTTACATCTATCATACACATATAAATATTATATCACGTTAAAACTTATTAGATATGATTGATAATGAAACTATTTCATTTGCGAATGATTTGATTAATGGAATAGTGATACTATTATATTGATGTAAAATAATAAAGAAATTTGTTTTAAATAATTCTTATATCGTCCTTTCGTGCTCATTATCAGCCAATATATCAATCTGTATATATAGCTAGTAATGAGTTCACGTTTACTATACTGAAGATAATTCTAATCAGATTCTGCATCGGCATAATGTTTACACATTCGAATGAAGAAATGTTCTTTTTTCTAATCAAGTTGACATTACTTCAGATAGAAGACATTTATGTTTCGTAATAGAATGTTGCGATATGTGACTAGTCTACCATAAGTTCGAAATGTACCGCACCTTTTTTCTCCGATTTTCTCGTACTATATTTAATATTTTTTGCCCATGCTCTACACTCAACGTTGATTATTGTATTCCCTGAAAACATACATGGAGATATATATATATATATATATATATATATATTTATAATTTATGGATATTTTTACATAATACAATATAGAAATTAATTAATTAATTTATTTTATATTTGTACTTCTCTCTCTCTCTTTCTATATATATATTTACATATATAATATATATTAATATATATTAAAAGTTAATATAATATATATATATATATTATCTTTTTAAGCTGTTTAGAAAAATAGATAATTAATTGACAGACTTACTGGCTGGTCGAAGAAAATGTACAGCCACGAGTGGACTTAAATATCCTTGAATATTCTCGTACGGATAATAAAATCCTGGAAAACCATGATTTTGCGGATAGTATGCTAATTCACCGATAATTTCATTATCGTATGGATCCTCCCCTTTGCATGATACCCACACAGTATTTAACTATAATTAAAATGTGACATAATGTAGGATTATACAATGAATATTGCACGGATGATGATCAATTAACATAATTCATCATTAACTAATATAAAAGTAAAATATTTCAAATATATATATATATATATACTTGAAGAAGAAGAAGATTATAAATTATCTTGAGATTTTTTCTGACCGTACGAACAATGAATTATTAATCTTTTCATTATCACACAGCTTACAAGTTCACACGTACGCGAGTCTAATAAAACGATACAATCTTATCAGCTTATACAACGAGCAAACTGATTTCGATTATACGAAACATTGATGAATTTGGCTTACAAACATTATAAAAAATTTTCCGAATTTTCGTGAAAATCAACAAGTACAAAAAAAAAAAAAAAAAAAAAAAAAACCAAAATAAAAAAAAGAGAAAATAGAAAAATAAAAAAAAGATACATTTCTCAATGATTAATCACTGTTTAATAAATAATATTAATTAATTAAATATTAATAATATTATTTATAAATATTAACGCGCGATAAGTTTAATATACCGACTGGTTGATTTAACTGACCGACTAACTAACCCAAGAACTGTTGGTTTTTTTAATATGATTGATTAAGCTAATCGGCATATCCGATGGTAGATCTTTAGTGTCGTTATAATATTCGGGTATCCATCCATATATCTGAAAAAGAAAACATTTGTTTAGATAAAAAGAGAGAAGGTTTTTTTTTGGGAGAGACGGAGAATTTTTTCCTTTCTCTTTTCTTTTACTTTTCTATTTGATATTATTATTATTATTATTTTTTATTTTTTTCTTTTTTTGTAAGTTCTTACTCTATTTAATTTAATAAAAATACAAGGTGCTGAATTGTTGAAACCATATTGTTGTTTCGGCGAACAAGGTCCCCAATTATTGACATCGACAGCACAAACATTTCCAGACTTTGGTGGTTGATTATAACTGCAAATCTGTTGATTCCTACCACCGTTTGGTAAAAGAGATGAATCTATGTATTCTGTAGAAATTTGTGTATTTACATAATCACGTGATAAACATTGCGTGTAGTGTATATTTTAGAAATATATTACAAGAGATATTAACGTCTGACCTTCTAAAAATTTATCCAAAAGTTTGGTCCATTTTTCCACTTCGCTTGCATTCGACGCTCTATACCAAATTAAAGATCTCTCATCTGGATTGTCCGAAATTGGCCGAAATCCAAGTCCTTTTAACGCGAATACACGTAAGTGACATTTAAAAATTATATAATAATATAATAATTTATTTTCAATATATTATATAATAATTATTTAATTTTATTTATGATATCTACCTTCATACATCTCCAATATAAATAACTTTTGATTAGCATAAAGGGAAAGTAAATAGAAAGTAGATAACTTCAGAGTTCTGTATTATTGACTTACACATATAAGCGAATAAAATATACAGGGTGGTTTCTTTTTCTTCTTTTTTTTTTTTTTTTTTCTTCAAACTGTATAGGAACTTTTAAACAACACTGTATAATTGAAATATATATATATGTATATATATATATATATATATATATATATATATATTTATGGTTTACCTGGATTGGTCCCAATGATACTACTCTCTAATATCCATTTAGGTTTATCGTTGCTTAGAGTCGACAAAAGGCCCTTCATACAAATTGCAAAGAGCAAGGCCAAAACCGAGAAGAAACAGCTATAAAATACTGCAGTCCAAGCTGAAAGATAAATAACGAAAATACATGTTTGTATAAATTTAATAAATGGTTCGATTAATTTGTAGTTATGAAATAGGAGGAAAGAAGAAATAAAAAAAAAAAAAAAAAAAAAAAAAAAAAAAAAAAAAAAAAAAAAAAAAAAAAAAAAAAAAAAAAAAAAAAAAAAAAAAAATAAATAACATTGATATTTTTTTTCCGTTGATTCTACGGTAATTATATATTTGCGTCATTGATTTTAATCATCACTATTGAGAAAATGTTCAACCTTCCGTCTCGATCGAACACGGAAATTATTTAAAGCATAGGCAGTCCGCCAAAATCTGTTTCTAAATATAATTTTCTTGCTTCGATGTTAACTCTCGAGTTCTGCTCCTATCGTCTTAATCTTTTCAAACGTATGAAGAACAAAAATTTAACAACGATATCTGTGTCGTATTAACGAAAAAAAAAAAAAAAAAAAAATATATATATATATAAAATCTCGTTTAATAGTTATTATAATAAATAGTTAAAACTTTGATGTCATAAAAAAATAAAATTCAAAAAAAAAAAAAAAAAAAGAAAAGAAGAAATAAAAAGAAATAAAGAAATACATTAATATAGGTTGAGCCAAAAATTCCCAATAGTTTTACAATCTGAAAATAAAATTAGCCTCGAGGTAAGTCTCGAAAAAAAAAAAAAAAAAAAAAAAAAATTTTAAATCATTCAAGAACTTTTCATCCGTCCTTTATATTATATCATGAAATATCAAATTATTTAATAAATTATTATTCCAAATTATTATTGCAAATTATTAATCAAAATTAATCCAAAATTTTTTTTGATAAATTGAAATATACAAGTACCAGTGATTTTACGTGACCTTGACGTGATTTTCAAAATAAATAAATGAAAACGACAAAAATTTTTAATTCGACATTATTTAATTCTGTTGTAAAAAAAAAAGAAAAAAAAAAAAAAAGAGAGAGAGAGAAGAAAAAAAAACAAAAAGAAAAGAAATAAAGAAAAAAAACGAAATTGTAAACAAAACTGAATACGTTTTATATCCGCCTTTTTCCCTAGTAAAGAAATATTTCCCAATACATTTATATAATGAATACATTTAGATCCAAAATAGAATCAAAGTAGGACGATGGCCTTAACACGTTAAAGTATGTTTTAGAGTTAATACGAAACGTAAACATGAGAAAGAAGTTATACGCTGCAAACATATTTAAACTTCTACTCGAATGGAAAGGTTATTGATTAAATTTTTTTTTTGATTTTTTTTTTCTTTTTTTTTTTTTCCTTGTGATTTCCATGAAATAAAAACGAGAATATAAGGAAAGATTGCGAGAACGTAATATGGCTAACAAACGAGTTCGAGCGCGCCATTTTTAAATTGACGTGTTTTTTTTCTTTTTTTTTTTTTTCTTTTTTTTTTTTTCTTTTTTTTTTTCTTTTTTTTTTTATGCAGATACGAACACGAGGAAAATCTATCTTAGCGTGAGAAAAGGAAATATTGCTAATAATAAGTTCGCGCGTCATTTTGAATTTGACGTTGTGTCTCGACTATATTCTTTTTATTATTATTGTACTAATACTGTCAATGAAATGATTAATTTATCGTATAGAATATCATATGCGAATGTAAGTACATTCCCACGGTTAATATTTTTAATAACGTAATAAATGATACTTTTTAATGCACCATTTATGATATCTATATATACGTATATTTATGCGTCATGATTAGGTTACTTGTTACACTGTGTAAGTTAATACTTTTCGTTAATCGAACGGAAACGATACGCGGAAAGTGATAACTCGAACAAATATGAATTTGTCTGAATGTGCGTCACGTGTTAAGATATTTTAACACTCAACCATGAAATTTGTTCCTTTTTAGAACGTCGAATGTTAATGGACAGCGATGTTGTCTCTATATAATAGTATTATCAACACAATGACACAAAATACGTATTTGAAAGAAACTATCGTATTACAAATAAATTACATAAATATTTGAACGTTCAAAGTTAAGATCCCATGGCATTTCTTAATACATTTATCACATCATTATATAATATATCATATGTATGTGTGTACGTGTGTGTACTTTGTAAGAAATAATAAATAATTATTTTTCTTTTTTTTGGTAAATAAAAATAAATTACTCATCATTTTTCGTATTTATGAGAAATGTTAATATTGTAAACGTAAAAATTAATTTTCTTACTAAAAAACATATTCATCTAATCTTTCGATACATATATATATATATATTTTTTTTTGTTTTGTCTTTATTTACGTACACGAATTATCATCGAATTTATTTAATTAGACTTTAGATTTTTTTTAAAGAATCTTTTGAATTTAAACTTGCAAATACGTATTTCGTCTTTATTCAGATTAGAAAACGTAGAAAATAGAAAAAAAAAAGAAGAAAAAAAAAAGAAAAAAAAAAAAGAAAAAGAGAAAAAAGGCATCCAACACTGGTATATTTATCTCGATGAACTTGATAGCTCTTCGAACGAACGTCAAAGCAGGAAAATTTTCTAATTCAAATCTTAATTCTAATTCGAATTTATTACCAATGAGTTCTTTATAATAACGTGTATTCCTCGTTGTTTAATCATTCGTTTTTAATTTCCAAACATAAACTAACCTCGCTCCAATAATTCCAACATAAACTAATCTCGTTCCAATTCGATTTATTTGGAGGAAAAAAAAAAAAAAAAAAAAAAAAAATCCGATAAATGTTCTCGAGATATGATTAACCTATAAGAATCGAATTATGCATCACTTAATAAATCTCAATTCGAATTAAACATTATTCAATAAACTTCAGTTCGATTTATTTATGAAAAAGAAAAAAAGAATAATTCATTAAATATTTTCGAGATTCGATCAATCGATAAAAATCGAATTCGTCGATTAGAAGATCGATAAATTATTTATTGCTGTGAAATAATAAATAATTACATAAATAAATAAATTCACATTTTTAATTGTTCGAATAATTTAATGTCATTATAAAAAATATTATATTTAAAATGGCATTTTCGTCAAAAGCAATTATTATCCGTACGTCTTTATTATACGTCTTTCGCGTTAATAGTCTGATAGAACGTGATAACACGGAAACGAATAAAATGATAGTTGATTATCTTAACCGTCACGTGAGACAATGGAATGCTTACATTCTGAACACTGTTACTCGCGTATTAAAACTAAGATCGGTATAGATTTGCTCTTGTCTATCGAATAAACAACGAGACTTCAAATGAAGATATGTTATATCATACAATAATTCAATTTTCAATGATTATTATATACTACAAGAAGTTATATTTGACATTTCTGTGATTAGAAAATTATTGGGGAGAAAAAAAAAAAAATAGAAAGGTTAACGAATTAATTAGAAAAAAATTTTTTGCTTTTTTGATTTCAATTTATCATAAAAAAAAAAAAAAAAAAACAAAACAAAACAAAACAAAACACATAATAAATGTACGATTATCAGACATTAGAAATTATTTTATAATCATGAGCAATATTGACAATCGAATCGAATATTTTTAAAACTTTTCTACCGTGCTGTTGTATATGTGTTAAAATATATAAATTTAGAAAAGAAAAGGAAAGGGAAGAAAAAAAAAAAAAAAAAAGGAAAAGAAAAAGAAATTGTCTTATTAAATTTTATTCCGAGAAAAATGTCAACGATAACACGTTTTATAATTTTCATGCGATAAAGTTTGAAACGTTAACTTTCATCAAAATAGAGAAAAAAAATTTCAATTTTTAGAAAAAATATTTCTAAATATTGTTTCTATAAATAAATATTATTTAATGAGTATATCATTGGCTAAATAGAAGTAATAGTCGTCGTCGTCGTCGTCGTCGTCGTTGTCGAAAATTAGCATAATGAAATATTCATATGCATTTTGAAGGACAATAATGAATAGAGAAAAAATCGACACAATATGAGGAAGAAGAAGTATCTAAAGTTGTACAAACTATGATAATGCGGTTACGGTTACATATTCGAGTAACAGACACGCGTGTGTGCAAGACACGTGCCTTTCCCGTGAATAAAGGAAGTGAATTAGAAGAAGCGAAGGAGAACAACTGCTTGGGTAGTTTCAAGTAATGAGAGTAATTTAATGAGGATTCCTTTTTGTCGACGAACGAGATTTGTCGTCTGACAATGATAAACCTAGTCACATTATATTTATATATTTATATATATATGTATGTATATAACACACATAAATTTTTTCAATTATAATTACGCCCATTGTCGCTTATTTCTTATTTTTTAAACTTCACGTACGATCGTGTCCATTAATATTTCTTTTTTCTTTTTTTTTTCTTTTCCTTAGAATTATAATTAAATGAATTTTTTTTTAAATATAAGAAAGAAATATTTACGAACCTTCAAGCTCATCTCTTTCACTCTCTCTCTCTCTCTCTCTCTCTCTCTCTCTTGATCTTCATATAACGATCAATCGATTCGATCGATTTGATAGTTTCGATAATCGAAAGTATATGAATAATGTTATTCTTAAAAAGTGTATACATTCAGTTATTTTGAAGTAAGATATTAGATATTTCAAATATTTTTATTTTATCGTCATTACTTTTCATTGAATTAAAAAAAAAATTCGAATGATTGTGTTATTTCCGTAGAGAGAGAAAGAGAAAGAGATAGAAAAAGATATATATATATATATAGAGAGAGAGAGAGAGAGAGAGAGAAAGAGAGAGAGAGAGAGAAAGAAAAAAAGGAAAACGAAGGATAAAAAGAAAATGAAAGTACGAACTTACCCCACTTTTTAGGTGGATGGCCACAATAGGTGCCATTAACAGGATTGTAAATGCCATCACGTATAACCTCCCATCGTGTTTTGTTTTCGGGCACACGCATGTAATCGAACTCGTAAGTACCATTCCGCACTTGCTTGCCCGGTGTACTCATCTTGTATCAATATCGACAATATGTTCTTTCGATGACGCTTATGTTAGTCGGAGCAACAGATAACAATCGTTTATTGTCCAAATGCAAAGAGAATGTCGATAATATGAGATAAAAATTAATACCGAAGAACAATACCTCCGCAGAATCAAGGGAAAATTTTTTATTTTGGTCACTGACGAGACAGAGATCCTACTCGGTGGCCGGCCGAACGGCAACTGAAAGCCAACGCGCGATCGACGATAACGAATAGAATTTATCGCGCAACCCTACTGCGCAGCCTGATTATACCGTATATGTACTTACTTTGAAGTGGTCCGAAACTACGCTTTCAAATACATTTTTGTTCTTTTTTTTTTCTTCTTCTTCTCCTTCTCCTTTCTTTTTAGTTTTTTTTTCTTTTTGTTACTTTTTTTTTTTTTTTTTTTTTTTTTTTACGTTTCCATCTAATAAAAATGTGAAGGTTTCATAAGATACGAATGAATCGGAATAATTGATAAGACTTTTGAATATTACATTTGTCAAGTATTTTGTAAATTAACATAAGCGAAGTAATCAACGAAATACAATATTATTGTTCTATAGATATTGAAATGTTTATGAAACCATTTTTTTTTGTTTCTTTTTTCTTTTTTTTTTCTTTTTTTTTCTTTTCTTTTTTTATTTACACACGAGCTCTCGCATTTTTTTTTCTCACTACTTAATACTTAAGTGAGGTGAAAAGAAGTATAATTTTATGTTATTACATTAATTATAAAAGTACTTGGAATTGGATATAATCTACTATTACATTTCAATCGAAAAGCAAGAATCAATGCTATTTGGTAATTATTTAGCGTAAAATGTAGGGGAAATATAACTCTTATCATTGTGTTTAGCTTTACACGGTAAAATCACGACAATTATAAAATTATTCGGGTAATAATTATATTACAATGCTGCTACAGCTTTAAATTAATCTCTGTGCAACCCACTTGTTATTATGCTATATTATAATAATCTCTTGCAAATAAAATTAATCCATAGTTTTAATAAACTCAATCGCCGAACAAAATTGAGTCCACCAATATTGTTCTTCTCCTTCTAATCGATTCCCGTAAAAACTATCTACGTATTGAATAGTTGATAATAAAGATGGTGGATTAGCCTGAAAATAATTATTTTATTTTCGATTTAATTCTTCTTATACTATCGCGTAAAAAAAAAAAAAAAAAAAAAAAAAAAATAAAAATTAATAAAACACCCATCGTTTACTTACCTTTATGATAACATAAACGAATACAGGAATTAAATCATCAGCAGCAGGTATACCTCTTTCAGAAGCCATAGATAACAAGTTCATTATTGTTGTAGCGCAACGAAATACGCACTGCAATTTATCTCTAGGTGTTTTATATGCAGAAATAACAGCTAATTCAGCTTGGGCCCATGGCCAAGGACATTCGTAATGATATACCTTTGGAATGCGTAAATCCTTGTGATTAGGCGTTATAACTTTAGCAAGCTTTTTAATATGATCATAAAGAAGCTGATCTCTATATACATCTCCATCTCCATTTGGATAAAGAGCATTATGATACACCCGAGCCATGACAGTTCGTTCTACAACGACTCTGGCTAACTTCAATTGAGACTCGCTTGCAGCTAAAGAAGTTATATACACGCCAATTATGATACACAATTGCAAAAGATTATATGTAATAAAATGATATAATATCGTTAATTGATTTATTAATACCTTGCCAGATTGGATCATTATCCATTTCAACATGAATTTTACTCAAGAAGTTATCAACTAGATCTTGCTTTTCATCGGCCAATGTAAGCTTCTTAAATTCATCGCAAAAACGTAGAAACAATGTTTCTCTTTTTTCCAAAAACACTCTTACAAAAACGGATACGAGATGATTATTAACAGCATCGCGATCGCATTTCACTCGAACATGTAACCTTTAAAAAAAAATATATATATATTTTTTTAAACATTAATTATAACAATGATATTAATAACAATTTTTTTGTATATATATATATTTATGTATATGCATTTCTACCTGTCCAAATGGGCTAACGTTGATAATAAACCCTGTCGACATCTAATCAAATATGCAATATAAGAAGATCGTCTTTGATAATCTTCTCTCAAAGATTTGAATAATTTCCTGCAGCCATCGTCATTAAATAATCTAACACATCTTAAAGTTTCATGTAAATGAGCTATCAATGCTCTATCCTGTAAGTTAATAGCTTCGGCCAATTGAAGTTGAAGGAAAGAAACCAATTCATTTTCCTTTTGTGACCAACTGCTTCTCTGTTGAAAGATATTATTAACATTAAAAAGAAAAAAAAGAAAAAAAAAAAAAAAAAAAAAGAAAAAAAAAAACAAGAACGTATTTCAACGAATATATTATAACTAACTCTATTAAAAGATTAAACTAAATAATAAAGCTTACCTCGGATGCAAAGCTCCATGGAATGTATTGAAGATCAGCAGTACTGAGTACCATGCGTAATTTTCGTTTTGCATCAATGAAAGCAAAAGAGAGTTCTACATTATTTGGATCTATTGAAAGTCTTTCATCTTCTGCTTCCTTCGTACGTGATTGATTACTTTCAATAGAAGCAGTATCACTAGCTGTACTAGGCTTTCTTCTATATTTTGCCAAAATATCATCCGAACTATCTGTATATATGTATATGTACATATAATTTTATTATAATTTTTAGTTATAAAAAAATGTTTAGATGATAATTATATCATCGATTAACATGATTGAAACGTACCAATGATATTTCCAGCTGACGTTACATCTTCCGACATGATTCTACGTAATCTGTGTTTTCCTATATCAATACCATCGCCACCGGACTCTCTATCGTAACATCTCAATTCATCAGTTCCTCGAATAACTTTTCCCCGACGATTTCTAAGTGACATCTTTAATTTACCAAAGAAACCACGCTTGTTTTTCTGATCATCATCTAAAAGCTCTTTATCGCCACGTTCAGCTGTCTTATCAAAGCTTATACTTTTTGGAATAGCTCCTGTAGATGCTGTTGGTTTATGGAAATTAGAAGCAACACTATCAGTTACATCGCAAGTACCATTAATTATCGGCAGTGACAATGGTAATTCAGATGATGATGATGCATTATTTTTCGCTCGAGTTTCTGATCCAGAACTACTGCTAGATGTTAAACTCGTTGTACTTAATCGTACAACCACATCATCAACACCAGTCAATGAACTTTCTGATTCCTGCAAAACGTAGTAATATTTTATATATATATAAAATAAAGAATAAAGAATGAAATAAAGAAAGATACTAACTTCTCCTTTGGCATCACCATTATGCAATTTTTCATTGGATAGCGTAGGAGCAGAAATATGATTAGCCAGTAATAATGCAGGTGTAACAGCAGCAGCACCAATATGATTATGTACTGCTTGATCAACAAGATTTGGATCATTATCAATTTGCAATTTGTCTATTAATTGAACGAGACTGTCTTCGTGGAATGGTTTACCATAATCCGTGCTGTTTATGGTATTAGCATTTTTATCAACATATTCCATTGTGCTTCTTCTATAATCAGATTTAGTTCCACCACGACCAGTTACGTTAGAAGACGAAGATGAATCAGGAATTGGCGCGACGAGTTGAATAGCAGAATCTTCTTGGATTGCAGGTATTGGATGATAAGCTATTCCAGAAGGATCATCTGTTCCTAAAGCTTAAATTAATATTATTTAATAATATATCGACGTACAAGTATGATTATTAATAATCTCTTTATATTCAAAATATTTTTTTTTTATATTTTTATATATGATATATTAATTAATGTATCTATATATGAATTACAAATCTTATTACGATTAAATATCGATGATCATATTTATAGAAAATAAATAATTATACATTTAATCCTAATTCCTTAAGTATAATATTCTTTTATACTTACGCGGTATAGCAGATGGTAATGATTCTACACCGGCTTCCGTTTCACCACGGCATTCAACTTCTATTTCAGATCTAGTTGTATCATCGGATCTAGCAACGCTAGCTGTATCATCCATATCCACTTCGGTAAGTCTTTCTGAATCACTAGCTAGTACATCCGTACTCCATGCTTCAGATGCAGTCTCACTAATATCCAACATTGCCTGAGCATTTTCTGAAGGTAAAGCTGGCGGAATTTGTTCGGAAGAAGGAGGATAAATAATTCTTTCTTGTTGTTCTACTATTTCACTATCCGATGCCAATACATCAGTGGACCATGTGTCAGAAACCATAGAAACTGTTTCATCTCCTATAAAATAAAAAAATATATATATATATATAAAATTTTAATACTTCTAAAAAAAACTGATCCTCATCAACGACATACCTTCAATAAGTTTTTTAATTTCAAATTTACAGAATTTATCATCTATTTCTGAACGACTTTGTTTAGTTGGAATATTTGGTGGTGGCAAATCCAACTGTCTTACTTCACCTGCAATACGTCCGTCATCACCTTCTGTGATTTGAGATGATGGAGTATCGCGACCTAAAAATATATATTCATATATAATTTGACTTATATAAAAATAAATAAATTTAATTCATTAATAGAAATTTACAAACCAGAAATATTGGGTGTTCCTCTTCCTGATACATTGGCTGATACCATGTCTGATAAATTATCATTTTGATCTTCTGTTTCTAATTCTAATGAGGATGCAACACTATGATTGGAAGCAGCTTCTGAAACAGCTTCTAGATTATCTGATGTATTACCAATAGAACCTTCAAATAACACTGTAAAAGAGAAAAATAAAAGTAATTAATTTTTTTTTTTTTTTTAATAAACTTATGAATTTTATAATTTTACCTTCATCATGAGCTAAAGAAAACCTTGTTCTTTTTTCTTGTGTTTCTAAACGTTCAGCACTGTTTGAATCCCTTCTACCGTGACCATTTACCATATCATCAGCAAGATTTAATGTAACAGAACTATTTTCTGCATTATTTTGGAGTTCCATGCACAAAACCTTTGAACAATTTTTTTTATTATAGAAACAAAAATGTTATCTTTGGAAAAAAAAAAAAAAAATAATATATACACGTACTTTTTGCTCACTAAGCAAGCCAACAGATTCTCCAATTGTTGGGCCAAATGGAATAACTAACACATCTTGTGAATTTTTATCTGAAGATTCATCTTCGGGCGTTGAAGTACCAACTCGATCTTTTCCTTAAGATAAAATAAAATATTAACGATCATGAAAATTTCTATAGTTTAAAAGAATTATTATTTCTATGTATCAAAAAAAAAAAAAAAAAAAAAAAAAAAAGGAAAAAAAATATACCTTTCCCTAAGAAACCACTTTTTTTATTGGGCGTTTCCAAATAGATATTATTAGAAACTTTACTATTACTATTCAGTAATCCTAACGGCAGTTGTGAAAGCATATCCGTTAAATTTATTTTTTTTTATTAATTTTTTTTTTTATTTTTTTTTTTAATTTTTTATTTTTTATTTTTTTTTTTTTAATTTTTTTTTTATTTTTTTTAATTAATTTTTTATTATTATTTTTTTTTTTTTTTTTATTTTATTTTTTTATTATATTTTTTTTTAATTTTAAATTTTTTTTTTTATTTTTATTATTTTTTTTTTTTATTTTTTTTTTTTTAAATTTTTTTTTTTTTTTATTATTTTTATTTTTTTTTTTTATTTCAATAGTTTGATATTTCATAAGTGAAAGTATTTGCAAAATTTGACCAACTTGCATTAAATTAAATCTTGCTACATAACTTATCGGTGCATCTGTAATACCATATGGTTCTGGATTAACTATTGCTGGACATATAAAATATGTAAATACAAGATCTGTGCACATAGCATGTACTTCTTTTGGCTCCACATTTCCATTTTTACTGAGAAGTCCAGCCATTTGTCTAACAAGCCAATAAATACTGATTGGAAAACAATGCATATTTTCTCTAATACTGATAATAAACCTCTGTGTAATACGATATAAAGAATTGACTGTCCATAATCTATATCGTTGTAATTTAGCCTGATATTCGGGAGTACCTTCCTTCCCAAATTTCTTTAATCTTTCTGTAGGCGGAAATCTGATAGGTACTTTATCTGGATCGATATCCAAAAATATTTCATCTTCCATAAGCAACTGTATAATAGGGGTATGTAATGCAGCAGTTAAAAAAAACTTTGCAGAGAAAAGGCTTTCATGAAAGAACGAATAAAACCTAGAAAATGCACATGTGCCATGTCTAAGAAGTCTTCGTGGATTATCTGAAGGAATTATTTGTAAAAGCATTAACTGTCTTAAAAGTTTAAGAACTAAAATTTTATCCTCTGGTAACAAACAGCTGCCATATAATCCAGCAGCCAAAGATTGTACAAGCCCTTGAATTGCATCTGGAACAATTCTATCACCGACAACTAAACAAGATGCAAGTAATTTAGGTGATTTCCTTAGAGCACCAAGAAATTCGCCATAAGATAAGCATGTTTGATAATTTAAATGTTTGTATGCATCTATAAAATTGGAATTTTCAAGTGTATTTGCCTTGTAGCAACAAGAAGCCGGCGTACAATCGGGCCTTGCAACTATCAAGCGATTTAAATTAACTCTCTGTTGTGCCGTAACCCATGCTTGCTGAGCTAGGTCCGAGGACATATATAAAACCTGAAAAGATCACACATTTTGGCTACACAATAGTATTACGTAATAAATAATAAAAGAAAAAAAATTTTATTATATTTAAAAAAAAAAAAAAGAAAAAAAAATCATTCATTTTATTTCATACCTTTTCATTTAGTGTTTGTAAATTTTGTTGTTCTGAATTAACAAACAAACGCTCTTGTCGCAAATGACCAGCTAAGTCAATCATGTCCCATTGCAATGTCCCAAGGGACTCTACGCTGTTTGCTGATGACATAACTAAATATAGAAAATAATAATAAGTGTTAATAATATAAATATATAATTAAATCATATAAACAGATATAAATATTAAAACTCATATCTTTTATATATAGTCATTTTAATAAATTATATTACTACTTTTGTTAAGAATATTAAAAAATAAAAAATATTCATATTAATAAATTAAACATTAAGATTTTTATGAAATATTCTCAAATCTATATTTCTATTGTACATAGAAATATTTAATGTAAGAAAAAAAATATATATCCTTACTAAATTTGATTTGTTAGAAACGATTATTAAAGAGTATAAATGTATCTATCTTAGTCCTTGAATTAAGGAAGTGTCAGGTGACATCAGAAATCATGATGTTTCTCATTAAAACAAGAACAAAGGGAATAGTTCTTAAATGAATGAAAAAAAGAAAAAAAAAAGAAGAAGATACAATTGTTTAATAGTTTCTAAAAGATATATAAATATTAATTATATAAGTATAATATGAATATAAGTCAGGAGATAAATAACATTCAACAACTATAACGTTCCATACTCGAAGAAGCAATTGACGAATAATAATACGTCGTATATAGTTTCTACAACGTCATATTACGAATAGCTGTTGAGAACTAGGGAAAATAATGTCGTTTACTTGAAAAATAACATTTGAATAATTTGTAATCACTTACCACAGGCACACGTGCAATTGACAACAGCAGGAAAAATGTCTGTTATCGTTTATAGTTCGAAGTAACACACCCAACAATATGCATTTTCTATTTCAGGTTAGAATTTTCCGATAACTATAATACTCAATTTCTTTACGACTTTCTCGATTTTTAGCCAATGACAAAAACAGTCTATTTTCTAACCAATCGCAACGCAGTGCAAGACAGAGAGAGGAAATCACTTAGTTCGTAGTACTTTGGTAGAAAGAGAGTGCAGTTTATACAGATGCACCGGATGTCGATCCACCGCCAACAACCGTCGGAAGTCGAATGAGTTTTGATCGAATCGAGTGCGACTCAAGGAGGATGCACCAGGATGCACCTTTGGAGCAAGGTGCATTCTTAAAAAAAAAATCAAAAAAAGAAAAAAAAGAAAGAGAAAGAAAAAAAAATACGTAATAATACGTAATTAAATCCAATGCAATGACAATGTAATTATCATTAAATAGTGATTATACGAAGTATAATGCAAAAGTGCAATGATGTATTTAATTTAAACATAGATATTAGTGTTATTGAATATTATTACAAAACAATTCCAAACAGGTAATGAAAATGATAATTTAATTATTGTTAGCCTTTAAATTAATCGAAATAATAATAACAATTTCGATATGATATTTACAAATATATCGTGTCTGTCGAATTCAATGTATTATTCGAACGATTATTACTATATTTAAAATGCCCTCCAAGAAGAAGAAAAAAAAAAAAAGAAAATCAATTTTCTTAACAGATCGTTAATAATGGACACAGAAAAAAAACAAAATTACCCTAGGAAAATCATTTCTATTTTCGAAAGAATAATAAATAGAAATTATTTCATCGATGCGATAGAAATCGAATCTAAAAAGAAAGAATGAAATGAAAAGTAGAAAAGAAAAAAGAAAAAAAAGAGAGAGAAAGAGAGAGAGATAGATTTAGAACGCCATTCTCTTTTCCTAACCAATGAAAAGATAATAATCATAAAAGAGAAAAGAAAGAAAGAAAGAAAGAAAGAAAACAAATATTAAAAACGATTCGTATGTGAAATATTTGAATATAGTTTTTTCTTCTGATAAAAATATCTATCGATTGAAATATAAAATGAATAAATGAACGAAATACGTGTATTCGTATGCATCTATGATGAAAATATGTATGAGAGTTGTATTTGAGAGACAGAGTAGAGGGAAATAAAAAAAAGAAAGAAAGAAAGAAAAAGAGAGAGAGAGAGAGGGAAAAAGAGAGAAAGATAGAAAGACAGAAGAGAGAGAGAGAGAGAAAAAGAGAGAAAGAGAGAGATAAAAAAAAGAGAGACGCGTTTAATGACGCACTCGTGTATTAAACGTCATCCGTGTACGGAGACGTTTTGTCGAGCTGTCAAATTTATTCACGACAGCGTGATTCTGGTTGGTCACAACATACGACATAGTATTTATCTTCTTTCCTATGCATTATTTTCTGGTAATCAAACGGATCACGCAACGTATAGTTCTATTGGTGATATCGTCGAAGAGAGAGATACAAGTACAAAGGATAAGGTCCTGGGAAAATGGCCGAAGGACGGGAAGAACTAGTGCAATCGCCAAAAACACTTTATAAACTGAGCGTCTCCGCGATTGCAGACAGATTGCTCGCATTCAAAAAACATCTCGTATATTTACCTGAGAACGTCGTCTTCGATATTTATTATCAGGTTAAAAATTCGGCGATGAAAAAAGCTTTTCTCTCTTTTTTTCTTTTCTTTTTTTTTTTTTTTTATATATGTTTATTTTTATTCGTATTTTCTTATTCATTCGCGTTACGTTATACATAAGTTAAGAGAAAAGATCTTAAGATTCTTTATCTGTATATTAATTTTATAAACGAGGAATCAAGGAAACGTTTTATTTATAAAGTCTTTAATTAATTTTAATTAGAATTGTAGAAAATTTTATCTTAGGCTTATTCGATTTTCTATTTTCCATCAATGTTATATTGTTACATTGGCGGTATGTTAAGGGCCGAGATTTAGGGAATAGGGAGAGAGGATTATTATTGAATTTCGAATAATAAATTATATACATTAATTGTTCATAAAAATATTGTTCTATGTGATGGGAAATAGAATAATGTCAATATTGTATTAATGATAGATATGTTGATACAAAAACATATTATGCGTTTTAAAGATCAATTTTAAGATATAGAATTATTGTTGAATACAGTAAATGTCTTTTTGTAATCAAATATTTGTACAAATTAGGTTATACTAATGTATATAATATGTATTTAGTTTTCTTTTTTTTTCCCCTCAAAGATATGATAATACAATTGAAGATTATTTTTTGATTATGAATTACCTCAGATATGAAAATAAAATTTAGAAAAAACATTAATTATTTATTCGTCATTTGTGTGTGTGTATATATATATATGTATATGTATATATATATATATGTATATACATATGCTTATATGTACATGATATATAATATGTATATATAGATAAATGACATGTGATATTTATGTAATAAAAATATTCACACAATTAGTAATTGTAACATCTTTTAGTTATATCAAGAAAGAAGACTATGTTTACTAGGAATGGAACTTGGAGACTTGGAAACATTTTCCAGGATGCTCAATGTCACAAATCGTCGTGTACATTTATTACAGAGCTTTCAGGTAAATTTTTTTGTAACGATCTCTGTCTTATTCGCCAACCTCTGATACATTATAATATAGTAATAATATTATTACAATAATATCTGATTCCTCTAAGGCCCTTATGGATCATGGGACAATGGTTGGAAAAGAGTTAGCAATCAGTTATGATCTATGCTGTATTCGTGTTAAAAAAATGCTTGCGGATCATGATAAAGTAATAAATGTGGGCTTACGACTTGGCGAATTTCTTAGCGATGCTGGCTGGTATAAAGAAAGTGAACAGGTTTTATTAGCTTGTATGAGACTGTCCTTTGTGGATGAGCGAACCCTTGAAAATTTATGTCGTACATTAAAATGTAGTTGCAAGTATGTTTCAACATTCATTTGTTCGATCCTTTCTATTGTAATATTCAACAAATTATATAAAGAGTATGGTATATATTGTGATGTTTAGATTATTACGTGCACAAGCAGCATATTATACATTTCGTGGAGCAGCTGAAACGCACAAAATTGCTATGGATACAATACAACAACTAAGGTGTGCAGGATATACCAGCAATAATTATGCGGCATTATATGGAGAATTTAGTGTTCTTTTTTTTAATAGAAGTGAATATGATGAAGCATATAAGCAAGTATTTTGTATAATAACATTTTATAAAAACAATAGATCTTGTAAAATAGTTACTTTTATGATAAGATTTGATATATTATGCTTTAGATGGGGTATAGAAGCATTAAAACAATTAAATCCATCATTGCCGCCACGGGTAATAATTGATGTTTTAAGGCAAGTAGCAAAATCATGTGTAGTAAAACGAGAATTTCGAAAAGCTGGTCTATTAATTAGACAAGCAGTTTATCTTGCAAGAGAAATTTTTGACACAGGTCATCCAAAATATAGTGATGTTTTAACAGATTATGGATTTTATCTATTAAATTACGATTGTATTGTGAATAGCGTGTCTGTTTATAAGGTAAATTATTTGAATGATATGATGTTCATTGTCTGTTAATATATCTATAGTCTTATATATAATAATATTTTTCTGAAATATTAGGCTGCATTAGACATTAAAAAAGCAATATTTGGGAAGACTAATCTCCATGTTGCATTAGCACATGAAGATTTGGCATATGCTTTATACGTACGAGAATATAATTCGGGGAAATTTCAAGAAGCAAGGTAAAATTTGATATATTAAATTATCCAAAATAAAAATAAAACTATGAATATTTTATTATGTACAGTGACCATGTTGATAAAGCTATAGATATAATGGAAAAACTTTTTGCTGGAGTTCATATTATGTTAGCAAGTGCAAAAAGAGTAAAAGCATTAATACTTGAAGAAATAGCTTTAGATAATGCCCCAATGCCTTTATCAGAGCAGACTTTATTACAAAAATCTGAATGCTTGCATTTATCTGCCTTAAAACTTTCACAAACAACATTTGGTGAAGTTAATGTACAAACGGCAAAACATTATGGCAATTTGGGTCGTTTATATCAAAGTATGAGAAAGTTTGAGGTGCGCATATAATGCTAATATCATTTGATATTATTTACATAATTCAATAAATAAAAGTTATTATGAATTTTTTTTATATAATTATATTTAGGAAGCAGAAGCAATGCATTTAAAATCTATAAATATAAAGGAAAAATTATTAGGACCTGAGGATTATGAGGTTGGTTTAAGCGTGGGTCATTTGGCCTCGTTATATAATTTCCAAATGAACCGATACAGAGATGCAGAAAAACTTTATTATCGCAGCATCGCAATTAGTAAGTTAAATTTTCTTTAGTGCGTCTTACAAATTCTTTATTAACACTGGAATTATTTTTCTTAGGTTTAAAATTATTTGGAGAAAGTTATAGTGGCTTGGAATATGATTATCGTGGACTTTTACACGTTTATACGAAATTAGATGAACGTGATAAAGTTTTAGAGTATACAGATATTTTTAATCATTGGAAAGAACTTAGAGATGAGTATGCACAATTAGAAGATCAGCCTATTGATCTTGAAGAACGACCACAGCAAATTGAGGAAGTAATTAGAACGTTTTTTCTATGTGATACTATATAAAAAAATCATTTAATGTTGATTGAATTTTCATTAGTTTAATTATCACATGTTAATTTAATTGGTAAGAACCAACTTATTATGATGTAGATTCAAAAAAAATTTTCAAAATTAGCAACTCGTAAGAATCTCCATTAAATAATTGTAACTCCATGTATAGATCAATGATCCACTTCTGTTACTACAATTACACGAAGATTTATTTTATTTTTTTAATATAGACATATAATAGAGCGATAAACTAGCATTTTTGTGAATTATTGAATGAATTATATATGTACTGCATCATACAGAAATATCCTTAATTGTTCGATTATCCGTTCTTGCACTTCTGCACATCCTACTATTAACATAATTAGTCCTTAAATTTATAGGAGTTCCTGTTATTGATTTTAAACAAATATATTTGATTATAAGTTTAAACAATTTTTTTTTTTTTATTACAATTTATTATTGACTTAAATAATTGGTGTATAAGATTTGAATTTATTGTAAAATAAATTTTTTAATTATAATGTTCATTATAATGTTTATAATGTTCATTAATGCAAGAATATATAATATAATTATATAGAATGTTAGAATGTAAAAATTTTTAATCGTTATTAATAATAGAAAATAATAACATGCGTAAATAACAGATCTCTGTTATGTACAGTTGAGTTTAGTATAATTTGTACATATGTGATTGTGATATATATATATTACAAGGTGTGTAAACGCCTTTTTTTATGTACTTGCTTTTACTTACTCCGCAAAACATTTAAGTATTTACTTTAGAGAAATTATTTCTTGAAAAAATTTATATTTAATACTATTTGTACTTGTTATAGTGAATCAAAAAATTATAATATTTCATATAGATAATTGTCACAATATTTACATGGGAGATTTTTTTTTAAACTTAAATAACATATTTGCAAGTTAGCTTTTCTCTTGTGTGTTTTATTTTTAGAATGTAAAATGTGAAGTTATATATATATATATATATATATATATATATATATATATATATATATATATATAGTACTTTATAAAAACTAATTATAAGTATCTTTGTTTAGCTTATAAATAAAAAAATATAGCGGAACCAAAATTTGATAACAATCATATTTACTGCTAAGAGAAAACACGCATATATATATATATATAAATAATTATTTACAATTTTATCATATTATATATAAGAAACAAAAAATATAAAACAAAAAAAGTGCACAGCTTAAGCTTTATATTAGGGGTTAAGTAAAAATAAGACAACTGTTACAGAGTATTTGAGTCAGATTATATTTTTACCAATAATTTTTTACGAAATTTTCATAATTCTATTCCAAAACCTTTTGAAAAAAATATATATATATATAAAAAGAGTTATATATATATAATAAAACTCGTTTGCTCATTTTATATAGGCTAAGCCACGTCATAAAATCGGTCAGACGAAATACATTTCAATAATCAGAATAAACGAATAAGCTTATATATATATGAGTAGATGATTGAAACGATGATCAAGATCATGTAAAAATATCTTTTATCCAGTGTCAAAGTATGAATAAATTGTAATTTCTCATCTTTTGTTCATACAAAAGAAATTTTATTGTTGTAAAAGTAATATTTTATATAAATTAGTTATATTGAATTTTAAGGGCTATTTTTTATTTCAAAATATTAATATACTTCATTTTTTAATATGATATAAAAACGTATAAACGTTTGAAAAAATTATTTTATTTCATTAATGTGCCAAGCCATAGTATATAAAAAATAATTTGACAAAAATTATATAGTGTAAATATTTTTGTGAGCCTGGTATTTTTGATTAATATTAGCTTGTTTAAATAAAAACAAATCACACTTTTATGTAAATGTTAAGAATGCATAAATAAAAAAATTATACAAATATTGAAAAAGTTATGATTTTGTTTTTATAGCTAACTGATTTTATTTCTCTACATACAGATTGATCAATATATATATATTAGAAACATTGTTATAAAAGTTGCAAATGTGGTAATAATTGATAGACAATCTGATTGATTGTTTGAAATAATTATTTCCACAATTTTTTAATGGACATATTTTTCTCTGAATCCTTTTGCATAACTTTTGCGACAGCCATCTCGAAATCTTCTTGAGTTACATGAACTCGTCGTTCTCTAAGAGCGTACATGCCAGCTTCTGTACAAACACCCTAAACGTATAAGCAATAATTAATTATTTTTACACAATAATGAAATGAAAAAAAAAAAGATGAAAATAAAATAAAGATGAAATAAATATAATATTAAATAAAATTTTTACTTTTACTTCAGCTCCTGATGCACCAGGCATAAGTTCAGCAATTTTTCTTAAATTTATACCTCGTGTTAAATTCATTTTTCTAGAATGAATTTTAAGAATATCAAGTCTGGCTTCTTCATTAGGAGGTGGAAATTCAATTTTACGATCTATACGGCCTGGTCGAAGTAAAGCAGGATCTAAAATGTCTATTCTATTAGTAGCCATAATAACTTTGATATTTTTTGTTGCTTCAAAACCATCTAGTTGATTAAGTAATTCTAACATGGTCCTTTGAACCTAAGAATGGTCAAATTGATTATACATTTAGTAATTTCTTAATGTGATTATAGAAAAATGTATGCTAAAAGTTATAATAGTAAATATACCTCGCTATCACCACCAGATCCAGATTCAATACGAGAACTACCAATGGAATCAATTTCATCCATGAATATTATGGATGGAGCATGTTCTCTTGCCATTACAAACAATTCACGAACCATTCTTGATCCTTCACCAATGAACTTTTGTACTAATTCAGAACCAGATACACGAATAAATGTACATTCAGTATGATGTGCAACAGCTCTTGCTAACAAAGTTTTTCCTGTTCCTATTCAATGTTTATAGAATATATTGTTAATATATTTTATCTTCATATAGATTATTTTAATATTTTATTAAAATTAAATCTTGTTATATTTATACCTGGTGGACCATATAAAAGAACACCCTTTGGTTGAGCAATACCAAGTGCATCAAATAACTCTGGATGTTTAACAGGCAATTCAATTACCTCCTTGATTTCTTTAATTTGTTTATCTAAGCCTCCTACCATTTCATAAGTAGAATCTGGTACTTTTTCTACCATCATCAAGGAAACAAGAGGATCTACTTTGTTAGGTAAAATTTTATGTAATGTGTAACTTTCATTGCGCAATGCTACTCTTGAATTTGGTGTTACATCATTAATATCAATATTTTTATCCAAATCTACTACAAATTTTCCTTCGGGATGAACCTTGACCAAAACTTTCTTTTTATCCATTGGTTTTACTACCTCTCCAACATAGGAACCTTGTTCTTGTAATAGCTGTAATTCTTCTCGTAACATACGCACTATGAAAGAGCAAAAATGATAAGATTTCAAGAATGATTAAATACGTATATTAATTTTTGCTGTCAATTTAATTACTTTTTTTTTCTTTTTATCAATTTTACTGACAATTCTCATATATTTTAATAAAGATTTGTATACAAACGGATACCATTTAAATAAATTACCTTTTGCATTTAATTCATTACGCTGTGCTTGTAATCTTCTTAAGTTCTGACTTTTCTCTGCTACTATAAGCTGCAATTCTTCGATCTTCGTTATATAGTATGGCTTAAAACCTTCTCCCTTTGCATTCTTCTCATCTACTTCCATCTAAATTATAATAAAAATATAATGAAATAAATTTGATTATTTTAAACCAGATATAAGAAACGATATATTAGGTTAAGCTGTATTTACCCTATTTGTTTGAGTCATTGTTGAGTTTATGTGTTATGCTCAATAATAATAATAAAATTCTATTATTTTATAATTCCATCTATTTATATAAATGAACGAAAACTATAAAAGTTTACTTATTCAATTCTTCATACGAAAGCAACTAAGAAATGCTTGTCACTTTGTCGCCATCTTAAAATTTTACTTGATGTAGATTGCCATAACCTTAGCGTCATTAACTGCTTTATAACTCTTTTGTTAAACGAAGCTGATTGGTTAATTCTTACAAGGAATATTCTATTTCGAAACAAATCTCGAATTGATCGTAGCGCCGCCTAGTATTTCTTTTGTGAAGCTTTGTTATAGTGGTGTGGCATGAAATAATACAAGCTACGTGATCATTATTCTTTAAAATGGGTACGTACAATTATTCTAACTAAATATATCTATGATTATTTATTTAATCAATTTTACAATATCATTATCATTATTAATTATATTTACATTTTTCTATAATTGTTTAGATTTATCTAATATTTAATTCTAAGGTAGATGAATAGATGATTTCTTTTTTATTTTCTTTTTTTTTTATTTTATTATATCTGATTATTACTATTTATATAAATTCAAATATTATTTAAAATATAATATTTGGTTATATTAAAGCTTTTCACAAAATATGAAATACAAGTTCAATAGCGCCCGATGTTCTATCTCATAGATAATGTGAGATGATGAACAGCTTTAAGATTGATATATATATATATATATATATATATATATATATATATAGAGAGAGAGAGAGAGAGAGAGAGAGAGAAATATTTGTAACATTCAAAATCATTTTATCTTTATTTTTATTATAACGTACAAGTATATAATTACAATAGTATTTATATAGAATTTTCGGGGGAAACAATATGTACAACAGAATACACCTATAATGTATACTTTTATGCGCATGTTGTTGTTTGCGTGCGCTCGCGCTTATATGTATGTGAAAGAGTTTATTTAAATGTATAAAAATAAAAGTTCATTAATAAAAGAGGTACGAGTATCGCGGTTTCCATCCCGTTACGTTTTGACAAACATGTCTCTCCTAATTTCTATTACCCGGAAAAATCGGGTTAATTTTTTTTTGCTTTTCTTTTCTTTTTTTTTCTCTTTTTTTTTTCTTCTTTTTTTTTTTTTTTAAATATGAACTTAATCTCTATATGCATTTTTCTTTTCTCTTGCTAATAATGAAAATTTATTTGTTAGATTAGATTATGATTCATCGTAAGTTATGTTCGAGCTTTTTGTTTCTTTTTTTTTCTTTTCCGTTTTTAACGAAATTTATGATTTCGGTAAAAGAAAAAAAAAAAAAAAGAAAATTGGAGATATGAAATAAGAAAATCAATTTCTGGGATTGCGCCTAATGTAATAATTAATCATACAATCTGTTTGCGTTCAAGCATTTTTAAAATTCAAATATCAATTCTATTTTTATATATAATAGTTGTTTCAACACAATTATTCAAGCTTTTGTATGTTTGTATATATTGATCGTATACCAGTCTAAAATTATTAAAAAGGAACGAAACTCATGGCTATGTCATTATCGACATCTCATTTCATTATTTTTAATTTCATTAAGTCAAAATGTGTTTGAAGGAAGAAATATAAATTATTGATTATTATATTCACCATTTTCAAGATTAATATATAAAAACAAAGAGGAGATAACACACATAACGTTATTTTTTAGTTCATTAAAAAAAAAAAAAAAAAAAAAATAATAATAATAGATGACATTATAAGAGCGAGAAGATATTTATATTTACTATTATTATTTGGAATGCTTTATGTATTACTAGTTTACTTGTTTAGTTTATCTGCCTTCTAAAATATTATAAACATTTACAAGAACAATTTTTTTTTTCTTTTTAAAAGAATAATTAAATAACTGATAAATATCAAATTATTTAAGAAATATAATATTTACCGAGTGATAAATAAATAAATCGATAAGTATCAGTTATGTATATTCCCAATTATTTTTGGGAAGGGTTTAAATTCATTTGTTTTAAATTTGCAATTTTTTTAATCGTTTTTTCTTTTTTCCTAACGTTTTGAAATGACATGTTAAATTCCTTATTTGAAATTCAACATTCCAAGCTTACAACAAATATTATGCAGATATATAGATATTATAATATATCTTTACAGATGCAAGTATATAAATAAATAATATTTTTAAAAATATTAGTCAATCTTTTAGGGCATTAAAAATTTTCTTACGATTTATAATATGATAATAATTCTTGGCATCCTTTTTTTTTTTTTTCTTTTCTTTTCTTTTTTTTTTCTTCTTTCTTTTAAACTAAGAAAAAGACGAAGCCTAGAAATAGTAATAACTTTGTTTAAAAAAAAAGATCTCTATCATTCGGTCTTACCATTTTCTTTCTCGTTCTTCTTTCTTTTATCATTTGAAGATGTGAAAAGTATTTCTTAAATGATGTTATATTATTTGGCAACATCGAATTTCAGTATTTACAACTGAACCAGCTGCAAAGACCACCGTCCAGCGGCTGTGTCTTCAATATAAAATTATTTTTCGATTAGTCCTCGATTTATAACTATAATTATACTCTCTCGTTTATCTAAAGAGAGTCAAAATTGGATTCTCGATCACTAACCTGTAACATAAAAGATTTATTTATACAAATAAACACAAATTTTTTTCTAATAGTTCGTAATAGATATAAAAACAATTTATTCATACTCTGTCTGGGCTATAAAGTGGTGGATGATGAGGTGGAAGTCTTAAAGTACTACCCAAATCTCGCTCAGCCATAGTGTGTCCTTCACTACCATTATCTCTTGAATTTTTATTGTTCCTGGTATCTTTAATACTATTTGTTCGAGTAGCCGCCATTTTTGTAAATGGCTGAATAGTTGTTTCTTCGCAAGACCTGGCCAAAATGGATCCTGCTTCGGCTAAATCCTGTCTAAGTAGTTTTGTTTGGGTTTGTATTGTTGTTTCACCACAAGATCGAGCTAAAGTGGATGTAAGATCGCCTTGACTGTCACAATTCTTTAGAACTTTTGTTGGTGGTTCTATAGTGGTTTCACCACATGATCTAGCTAAGGTTGATTCGGCATCTATCATTCTTGTTACCGTTGCTGATACCTATAATTCGTAAACACAGATTATTATTTCAGATTGTTGTTCTTTTTTTTATTTTTTGTTTTTGTGTTGTATATATATATCACACATAAAGAATACCTGAAATCCGGCACTGACAAGTGCACCAGTTGACACCGCAGGTGCTCCTCTTGCAGCCTGTAAATCAGATTCTTTACAATCCTTTGTACTCGATATACTTTGTTTTCGATTTCCTTGATGATGAGAACCATTGTCAAGATAATTTATAAGTTTATGTTCGTCTGTTACAAATGTGCTCAGAGTTGTTTTATAATTTTGTAGTGACTGAGGAGCCGATCGATATTTGGGACGTGGAATCATAACAGTTAAGGAACGATCACGTTGTTCATCATTATTCATTTCTGTATATAAAAAGATCAAATGCGTAAATAAGCATAAATGATCAATAAATGTATTTAACTTTGATAATATATCAAACCTGATGCAGCTACAATAGGTTTTCTTGATGGATGGTGCGATTTTTCATTGATTTTACGAATTGGTCTCTTCATTGGAGGTAACGGTGCTACCATTTGCGGCGGTGGTGGTAAAACATGTGGCACGTGATAAGGAATAGTTACATCTCCGGCACTATCTTCACTACTAGTGTCACCACTTGCTCCGGAAATCATTGCACGAGTATCTCCAGAAGTATGTTTGTTATGAACAGGTTGTCTAAAGCATGCTAAGCCTACACATACAGCTAGCAAACCCAATAAAATGGCACCTGTTGTCACCAGACCTATCAGCATCACTGTGAATGAAAAAAAAAAAAAGAAAAGAAAATGATTAACATCTATACATATCATATTTATAATAATTCATAATAATATTAACCTTTTAAATTAACTTGACATCGTTGACCACTGTACCATGGGAAACATTCACAAATTTCGTGACCATGAATATTAGTAACACAATGTCCTTTATTATTACATCCTGCACAACCTATCGGTGCTTGTGAACATATTCTTCCAGGATACGCAGGATTCTCTGATAAATCTGCCCAACCTTCCTTACAAGAGCATTGATAAGATCCTCTTAAATTAAAACAGGCTGCATTTGGTGAACAATCATGATGGGGACCATCCTCTTCGATCGAACATTCATCAAAGTCTGATGCATGAATCTAAATAATATATGAAATTACAAAATTAACAAATGCTTAAATTAACAATAATAATAATATCGTTTTTTTTTCTATTTTTATTTTTTAATTTACCAATTCCAAATTTTTCGAGGCATAAACTTCAGTGCCACCCAAACTATAATTACTTCCAACTAAATATTTTCGTAAAACTTCTTTCAATCTTGTTTCATTAGCATTGTCACTAAGTTGTACATGAAATATCACTTTGACTGGATCCGAAGTAAATTTCGAAATTTTAAGAGCTCTGTAAATATCTCTAAGATCACTTTGCATTAATGTTCTATCTAATGCATCTTTCACCGATCCAGCAAGTCGTCTATATATTAGAGACGTAGAATCGTTCAAACTCTCTTGATAAATTACGGGTTCATGTCCAATACGATCCAATCCAACATGAAGAGTATACGTATAAGTTGCTAAAATTAGATAGAATTTAATTTTTATTTAATCGTAATTTTTTTTCTTTTTATTTAGTTTATCATAATGATAATTTATTACTATTTAAAAGTATTTACGTTTGCAAGGCCTATCTGGGAACATTCTTGCGAATCCTGGTCTACAAACGCATCTCATTTCATTTTCTACTTCTACGCATGTTTCTGCTTTAGATCCTTTGCATTCTGGTGTACATTGATTGGTAGGTCGTAGAGGTGCTACAGGTGCACCTAAGATACCTCCAGCCAAAACCCTTTGGATATCATTGTTCGTAGGATTTTGTTCGTCCCTTGATATATCTTCTTCGCCATATTCCGCTTCTACCTATATATATACATATATTTCCAAAGAAAATATTCAACAATCAAATCCATTTGACATTCAAATATTTTTAATGATTTATTTTTTATATTTAATTTTCATACCTCCTCAGCACCAGGCTCGGGTGGTTTTTGATCACTCATTACTACAAAGATCGAATCATTATCTATACTATTTTCATAAATTGATGGTACCCGTGTTACCATAGATTGCAAAATATTTGACGTAATAGTAGCAATAGTATTGGTGGGATGAAGAAAAGTTTCTGTCACTGTTTCCACAGTGGTCGAAGTCATTGTATGCGTTAGTAAAAATGTTCTTGTTGTTGGTGGCAATCCTATTGCAAATGTTTCTATCTTCGTTAATGTTGACATTTTAATCCGAACAATCTATAATATATAATATTAATGCATATATATGTACAATAGATATTTAATACTGTCTTTCTCATGTAATTGATAAATGTGGAGATTACCTCTTTAGGTTTTACACTACCAATATTTGTATCAGAAACATTTTCATATATCACTGTTCCTACATTGGGTTTCAAAGTTACCGAAGTTGTCTCATTTATTTTAAAACCTAAATATTCTTTTGGTAAAGATGAATCCGTACTTTTTAATGATTTATCTGTTTGTATCGCTATTACGGGTATTTTGTCTGTTACTGTTGCATTCATCTTTTTATATGTTTTTGTTATTTCATGATTTTTTACAGTGGATTCTTTAATTCCATCAGTGGTTACAATAAATGTAAGAGATTCCGTGGGTTCTGTATTAAAAGATGGCAAAATATAATCGTGACTTGATTGCAAAAATATTGGTTGCTCTGCCAATTTAACAGAGGTATGTGATGTATCAAACGTTAATGATTTTGTTGGTTTAATATCAGGTTGTAATGATGGTTTGCTTGATTTGATCTGTCCGCCAGATGACTTAACTTGTGTCGAGGTAACTGTTTTTGTTGTTGAAATAGTAGTTTGTTTCACTGGTACCCTAAATTAATCCAGAATATTATACAATTGTTATTTAATATTAATTTCAAAAATAAATTGTCAAATATCGTAATTTTTATTACCTAGATTCGCTTGAATGTTCCATTCTCTTAGTTGACATAGAAGCACTTATGATCGGTGTACCAATAATGGACGGTTTGATTGTATTTTGTGTTGTTGCATATTTCGATTTGATATATTGATTGATATAACCATTAGATATACTTGCAGATGGCTTTTGAGTTGATCCAAATGGTAAAATATCTATTTTTGTTGTACTTATTTCAAAGGATTTAGTTTGCAATGCTGGAGGGGATGGTACCATTCTCTGAAAAAAAAAAAAAGAAATAGTACCACGACAATATAATTATAAACAATATATATATATTTTTATTATTTAGTATATAAATAATAATATATGTTACTTACTTCAGAAAGTTGTTCAGCAAGAAATGATTTGGTTATCGTTGTTCTTAGATTTGAAGACTTTACATTAGGCTGTGGAATCATTGTTTTAGTCAATTCCTTTAATGGAATATATTTAGATGATAATTTTAATTCTGGTTCATTAATAATAATTGGATCTGGTCTATGTTGCATAGGTCTATATGTGGTTGTAATTTCTAATGGCGGAGGTGATAAACCAAGAACATCATTAGATGGCGGAGGTGGAGGTTTCAATTTTTGTTGTTCATCTTCCAATTTTGATGGTGCCGAGTTCAAAGGTGGTGGCATCATATCTCTCGAGGGAACTTTAGGATCTTTCACATTGAACAACATATTTTGTGCATTACTGTGAATACTCATATTGTGAGAGTTGCTTTTAATTTTATGAGTTTCAGAATTACCAATGACTGAATCCAACGAAGCAAAATTAGTTTGATAAGCAGTCTCAAGCATCTCTTTATCTTGATTTTTATTTTTTAACGAATTATTCTTTATTATTAACATGCTAGGAGGTCTTTCAGTTTGTGTTTTACTGTCGTCTTGTTCGTCATCAGTAATTTCAACTGGCATTGAGAATTGAACGTTCGATTGTATATGGGAATCTGGTTTCATTCCAGTACTCGAAATAACAACAGGTTCTGGTAATTGTAATTTTGGTTTCGTTATAATATGCGGGTATTCAGGATGAACTCCTGTTATTAATCCTTGTTCAAGAAAATGCGATGGATGATTAGGTTTAATTTCCAATTTTTGTATTCTTGTATCAACTTTCTTATCGATGGAATCAGAAATTGTATAGTTCGTATGTTCATTTTGTTTTGTTCCTGACTTCTTTTGACTCATATACGTATTAGTATCCAAAGTACCAACATTCCAATTTGGTCTAGCATATTGTTTCACCATATCTTCGGAGATACTTTGTTGTTGTTGATTTATTTTATAATCCTTTTGCGAATTTTGATTGATGAAACTATCGAAGTTAGTTGATTTAAAATTATTAATATGGCTAACATTATTATTTTGTTTAACATTTATCATATCAGTTGGTTTTGTCATTATCTCTACAACTGGTATACGAGTAGGTCTTGTTTCAGTAGTTACAATAATTTGTGGTTTAGAATAAAATTCTGTCGATTCGTGATCGGCAATAGGTCTGAATTGTGGAATAATTGCAGGTGGTTTAAGATCTATGGTGTCATCATGTCCATAGGAATATCGTAAAGTCGATGATTGCACGTTCTCGTTATGATGCATTAAAGGTTTTTGATCATTCAAATAAATAGGAGAAGATTCTTGAACAGTTTTATAATCAAATTCACTTTCTTTTTCTCTATATTCATGGTGCTTATCACGATTAGCATTACCGCCATATATTTTATGCGGCTTATTTTTTACAACAGATATCTCATATGGTTTTGTACCATAAAAGGTTTCATTTGCCGAAATCGTGCTATTATTTTTTAATTTGAAAGGTTCACCTGGATGTAAAATAGGTGTATTATCATTTTTATTATATGTAAGTCCTTGTTCAGCAATTGGTTTACCATGAGATGGTTTATTAATCATTCCATAATTGTCTTTAGTGTTTGTAATATTATTATTTTGTAAGTTTATTACCGCATTTAATTTCTTTTCATAATTAATATCACTTGAATCAGAATTCTGATGTGATTTTATATATTCTGATTCAGCAATTTCAGAATCTAATGGTCTCGATTGATTTTGTGCATCAAAATGTACAGAATCAATAGAATGATTCTTTGAAGTAATAATTAACATCGGAGAATGATATCCTGTGCTTTCTGATTTTATTTTTAAATACGAAGGATTATGATATTCTAATGCTCCAGTGGGCGCTTGATCGTTGTTCCATTTAATAATAGATTCTCCGCTATTTAGTAGATTCGTTTTTTCTGGGTTGTTTTGAGGCAATCGATCTTGAAAGTTTACCTGCAAATGATAAATAAGCATATGTATTATTTTAATAAGATTTAATGTCATTTCTAAATCTTATTTTATATTATTATGATATAGTTTATAAGATATATATGTATATCTTACTTGATAATTATGAATAATTTCTTGATTTGTTACATTGTTTATATTTTTATTACCAATCGATATTGGCTTGTTTGAAAATTCATATTGTAAATATGTATTCGATGAAATTTGATGAGGCAACAAAGCTGTGTTTTGTGGTTTAAATGGCAATTTTGGAGACACAGGATATGTTGTTTTTGTGGTAACAGAATTAATAGGTTTTTCAATATACGTAGGTCTATTATGAGGTCGATGAGTAGTCGGTCTCAATACAGATTGTGGTCTTAAACGATTGTTCAGAGTAATCCTTGGTGGTTTTTTATTTAATTTCCAATTGGTATTTAAAATAACTTCGTTTCCTGAATTTGGTTTATTGTGATACGTATACATATGTGGTATTTCAGTAGGAAGAATAGTTGATTCCGCTCGTCTAGATGGAACAGTTGGTAAAGTATTTATGGGTTTTTGATTTTTTACAAATTGTCCATTAGAAGAGAATGAACTAGTTGGATGACCATTGGAAAGCATCGGCGGATGTGATGCCAATTGTAAGTTTAACGTTTCTGGCCGATGATGAACTAAAATTTCACTATGGACAAAACCTTGGCCATTAGTCACACTACTTTGATGGGGTTGCTTCATCATATGAATTTCGGCTGGTCTCTTTTCAGATCTGATAAAAGGTGGTTCTAATTTGCCCGGTGGTTTTATATGATCGAAACGAACTTGCGGTAATCTAATATGTGGCCTATTTGAAGAATTTGTTTTTTGTATAGCAAGTTTGAAATTACTCGGTGGCGATGGTGGGACCATGTAATTTAATGGATCTTTCCCATGTAAATTTTGAAATAGGTCCTCTGCCTGTAATCAAACGAAATCTAAATTAATATTTTACTTGATTATTTTGTCTAATAAGACAATTACGTGTTTGAAATATAAAACCTTTTGGATTCCAATAAATCCAGGACCAGTTTCAGGTTCCGGATATGGCGATGGATCATCGAAGTATTGACCACTTATGTGACGTTCTCCTGTATCTCCAAATATCAAAGCCTGTTTTCCATCTTGAGGAATCATAACATTTGCTACTTGGCTAGGTTGAATATTAACGAGTAAAGGTTGACCTGTAGATCTATCAATAATATGTGGGACTTGATGAATGATCGGTTCGGATGAAGATGATTGTGTTTCTGATGTTTGAATTTCAGGTAAACCATCGGAAAGGAAAGAATCTTTTTGTGCCCAATTTGGATGTTTCTGTTGCTTAAACGATGTTATCCAAGATTTATCATTTGCTGGTTTTTCTGAATAAAGCTAAAGGAAAAAATATATTTTACATTAAGCAATATTAAGTAGTAAATAAATCAAAGAGCGATAAAATAATCATTATACGAAGTGACACATACATCACTAAATGTAATAGGTAATGCAGGTGGTGTTAATGGATTTGTTGTTCCCCATGGTCCTCTGAATCCATCCGTACTCCATTCAGGTTGCTTGTTTATAAGTTTCTCTGTACCCGGTTTGTCAGGTGGTTTTAATAAAGGATCATGTTGTATGGTTTCGTGTTTTAATTCTATCTTATTAGTCTGAACAGATTCAACAGGATGTAATTTCTGAGGTTGCGTTGGAACTACTTGGAGTTTTGCATTGAGTGACATAGAAAGTGGAATTTTTAAATGTTCTTCGTAGATCCTATGAGATGGTATAATTTGTAATTGTTCTTTATATATATTAGGAGGATGTTGTTCTTGAAAATCTTCACGATTATTTTCAAGAATTTCTAAAACTGGATGAACAGGAATATTTGGTACTGGTAATGGTGGTGGTTTCATTCCAATATGTTCATCTTCGTTGACAAAATTTTGTGGTAGTCTTGGTGCCAATTTACCAGGTTTCCCAATAATGACATCACTATTAGCTGTTATAACTTCACCAGGTGATATTGGTATTCCATCTGCTAAGCTACTAGTAACTTTGTGCCGTGTTTCAGCTATATGATTGTGTTTAGGATTTACCAAATGAGCAGCTATAATAGTCACATTATAAATGATAAATTTATTATTATCTCGAATAAAAATGAACAATGCAATTTGTTTTTATTTCATCGTAAATATTACCTATATTTTGACTTTCCGCAACTTCGATATCATCATCAGCAAATTCTGCTACTGGAATGTAGATAGGTGATCTTTGTGTAGTAGTTTCTTGACTTATTGTTGAAGGCTCCGTATCATTTCTACGAGTTGCAGTTTTTCCTTGTAATAAACCAGCCATTGCTGTAATTACAGGCTTCAAAGCAGAAAGGCCATTGATCCCTAAAGATCCTAGATGTAGAAGATTACTTAATTGAATGTCACCGCCATCATGAGTGGTAGGTCGTTTGTGATCAGCAGTATTATTCAACAACGTTGTTTTATTATTATCCTAAAATTAACAAAAAATTAATATAATTGTTAATAAATACCTTATTCATGTATATCTCTAAATGAAATATGTTAATTCATCGAAATCTTTAAATATTTAAATAATTTCTTTTTGCATTGTTAAATATTAAAAAATACAATATTTTATTATTACAAATGATTTACCTGATTGTTAACATAGTCTACGCGATTGACAGTTGATTCTACTGTATCCGATGATACACTAGGTAATGTTGTCGATGTTAAATTCTCAGAGGGTTTTTCAACTTTCCCTATTCCAACAGATGTAGTAGACTCTACCGAACTGCTAGACGTTGTTGGATCAATCTGATCTTCTTCATCAAAGAAAATAATTGTTGAACCAGTAACCACGTTTTTAACTGGATCAGAATGATATGCTGTTGTAAGTAAAGCATTCATGTAACCAGCGTCAAGTAAACTTGGTGCTATTGATTCTGTTACTACATTTTCTATAATATGAGAACGAGATGATATGGTTGTTGATGTTTCACCATCAGGCCCAGCCTATAAATGAAATTTCGATGGGATAAAATCATGTCAAAATCTCTTCCCCCCCACCCAACCCTTAAAAATAAAAAAAAACGATGAAAGTTTAATATAATATACTGCACCTGTAAAAGTGTTGTGAAATAAGTAAACGTTGTAAGATACGTTTTGGTAGCGAAAATTTGAATTGGTTCGGGTGTAGCATTGATTTGTATTACTTTTGTCGTAGATGTATCTTTTGTAGGAATTTTTTCTAAAACAACATTTGTAGAAGTTGCAACGTTAGTACGTATAACAGATGTACCTTTCTCAAAAAATGTGTTATAGTATGTATATGTGATATAATAAGTCTTCATAATATCTGTCATAGCTTCATCAGTATCATCCAAAGCAGTTAAAGTAGTAATGACGCTAGTAGGCTTAGGTGGTGATCCAGATTCAATTGCTATTAACTGAAAAAAAAAAAGAAAGAAAGAAAATAAAACGTCTCATATATTACAAAATATATTTAACATAATAAATAGCTATAAATTTTAAGTTCTAACCTGAGTAATCTTATCACTTGTTGTTTGTACCTTAGTATGAACATCTTCCATATAAGTTTTTTCTAATACTTTCGTACTTAAATACGTATTTGTTTCTGGATGTGATACTTCCGAAGGTTCCAACATCATATGTAAATAATGTTGAGGTGCTGTGATTTTATTTGTTACAACTTTTGTACTACCGATTAATGAATCTTCCATATTAGCATGATTCTTATCTCCGGTTAAATATGTGTATGTTGTCTTGAGTACTTCGGTACGTATCGTTGGGGATGGTTCTAAGATAATAGTTGCTGTTTCTGATCCAGTCTTCTTTTGCTGTTCGTCCGTAACTGTACTTGACATAATCTTAAAAGAAAGATCGTTTTGAATTTTTATACCTTGTACATTGATACTTCTTTTCTTTCTTTTTTTTTTTTTTTAATTCATTTTAAAAGAAACTTATATACCTCTGTAGTGACATCAGAATTTCCATTGTTATTAATAGTTCCAAAATATGTGAATGTAGTAGTACATGTTTTTGTAACGAAGTCACTAGACTTTTCTTGCGGTAATAGCATAACAACCGCATCTGATAATGTCAGGGTTGGTTGAGGATTTGAATTTTCCCATCTCAAAGCTGGTGTTGGTCCTGCTACAATAACTTCAACCCCATTAGACATTACGCGTGTGGCTAGATTTAGTTTTCTTCCCTCTTCCTCTTCTTTCAACGTATCTTCTCCTATTAACATTAAGTTAATTCAAATAAATATTGATATTTTAATCTCAAAGGTATAATTTAAATAAAATTTTTGCATTTTTTATTCGAAATATGGTAGCTTATATATATAGAAAGAGAAAAAGAGAGAGAGTGAGAGAGAGAGAGAGAGAGAGAGAGAGAGAGAGATCAAGTGAATAAAGTATTTTATATATATAATATAATGCAAAAATAATTACATGTATGTACATCTTAATTAAATACCCCAATACCTATCATATTACAAATATCTATTACCAATTGTTACATTATATTCAATAAAAACATGTTTTTGTGAAAAATGGTTAGTTGTAAATTGGAAATATTCATTAAATGAAGAAATTACGATAATCTACATTAAGAGACAATTATCCTAATATTAACAATGAAAATAGGATAATAGGTATATACAAGATTTTTTATATCATTTACAGTATGTACATTTTTTACATAGTTGTGATGTGTGTTCGTGTGTAATTCATATTAATATTTATATCTACGTCAGGAGTCCCACTCGTAATGGCTAATATGTAAAATATTTGTCATTTAATAATGTGGTTTAATATTAAATTAATCGGATAAAAATAATCTATCATAAGGTCATTTTTAATTATTTCAGAATTTAATAAAAACTACTCACCAAAAACAGATACCGCATTACATATAGATGAATATTTGTTGACTGATGACTCCATGGTGGGAGTGACAGTCACTGTGATGGGCACTGTCAAAGTAAGTGTCGTCACTCTCGGTCTAATGGTCGTAGAAGATGTCACTTGTGTTTCAAGTCCATTAAGTTTAGTCACTATGTATGTATAAGTTCTCAATCTTGTTGATGTTACTATTGTTTCTGTATAATAAATACTGGTACTGGGTTCTAACGGGATATAATGTGATATAGATTTGGATTCTATATCAATAGATTCTAATTTGGATGTTACGATTTCAGGAAAATCAGGACGCGATAATGACAGATAAAGATCATCTACAAGACTAGCTTCAATATCTTCTGGCTTAGGCGATGGGATAGTTTTCGTAAGATTCAATGTTAAAACATTTGTTGGTTTAATTTGAATCTCTGGTGTATTTGATGTGATATATTCTATATTAAGAGGAATTACGCTTGGTATATAAGAATTATCGAAGTTAGAAGAAATTGAGGAATTTGGTGTTAAGAATGTTTCTGAGTAAGGAGTATTCGTACTAAAGAAATTATTAACAATTGTTTTGAACGTGTTTAATTTAACAAGAATTGAAGAAGTTTCAAATTTATTGTTCGACTCTATAGGCTTTACCGTTAATATCTCATTGTCCTTTTGTTCTTCTTTAAAGTTTGATATTTGATTGATATCTGTCAAATCATTTATAGAAGTATTAATATCTTTAATTGAATCGATATCTTTGATCGTGTTGTCTATTGATAAGGGTATAGAATTTCTTTCTATATTAGTTTCTATTGTTTTTGAAATAGTTGTAACTGGTTGTTCAATTATATCCGATAATGTTGTACTTTGTTCTACGGATTCTTCAGATATAGTAGTTGTATTTGTTTCGTCAGTCGAGATAAATATTTCTGTCATATTAGAAAGAGTAATTTCTGTTATTACATCATTTGTTTTAATAGATAATTTTTCTTTCTCGTGAAGAGAAATTATCTCTTCTTCTTTTACAGAAGTTATTTCTTCTTCTCGTTCTTTTATAACAGTTGTTTCTTCTTCCAATAAAGGAGTCGTTACTTTTTCTTGCAGAGAAGTTGTTTCTTCTTCTTCTTGTACAAGAGTTGTTTCTTCATTTTCTATTGGAGTCGTTTCTTCTTCTGGCAAAGAAATAGTAGTATCTTCTTCTGGTAAAGAAATAGTCGTATCTTCTTCTGGCAAAGAAGTAGTCATTTCCATGATTTCATGCGAAGTCTCATTAATAGAATCCGATATAGTGAGCTCATTAATGTCATCTTCGTTAATAATATTAGTTGATTCTGTTGTTGTTAGAGATGGTAATGATGTTGGTATATTAACTGGTACGTCAATATCAGTATCTGTAGTAGATTTTATATCTTCGTTTAATATTTTAAATTCTGTCACAGGATTTGTTAGATTTTCTTCATCTACGTTTGATATAATTGTTGTATCATCAACATTCTCTAATCGGGTGTCATCTTCTAACGTATTATTTTGTTCATTTAACAGAGTAGATATATCTGTGGTTAAATTGTCTGACGTTGTTGTTTCTGTATAATTATCTTCATAATTTTCATCTTCCTCGTCGTCATTAGCCGGTGGAAAGAAAAAGTTGTCAGTAATTATAACGGGCATTGGGTCAACAACTTCGTATATCGATGTTACTTCTGACACTGGTGATTTGAATTCACTTAATTCCTCTTCTGGCTTGCTCTCAATGACATCGGGTGTTTCCTCAAGACTCGGAGTACTAGTAGTAGTAGTAGGATGATTTTCATCTTCGGTATCTTCTTCTGTATCTTCTTCGTCCTCGTATTCATCACTATAATCTGAGGGTGCAGTAAAAAAGTCTGTAGTAATAATGGCTAACGTTGGCGTTGGTTCTATTGGTCTTACAGCAATTAATTTTTTCCTAGTAATTCTGACTCTTTTCGGTGTAACCGTATTAATTGTTGGTTCTAGCTTTCTTCTTCGTGTAATCGTAATTTTGTGACGTGCACTCTCTGACGTAATATTTTCTAGATCGTTTATATCTGTGGTTGAATGTCTGGAATGTGCCAATCCTAATGCTCTAATTCTCGTGACTATTCTTTTCGATATTTGCGCATTACTACGATTAATTTGTTCATTTCTGGTTGATGGCGTTAATGGTCTACGTCTGACCACAGTGAGTTTATGTTTCTTCGGGATTCTACTTCGAACAATAGGTATACGAATTCTAACTCTTTTACGTGGTCTACTTTCAGGATATTCGCCGATATCATCCGAGGCAGAATTTTCTTCGTTATCAACATATGCGTTATCATCGTATAACGATTTGCCATATACTTCCTGAGCTGGGTTTTTGTTGTCGTTTAAACCGTTATGTTGTTCCCCTGAAATATTTTCAGTCTTCTCCGTTCACTCGTTTATGGATTTGTTAAACTTGCCCCAAGATTTGTCTCGTATTTCAAAATCTCCACGGATAAGCAGATGATAGTAATCAAATTCAAAGAGATAATATTCATCAAATATTACGAATCAGACGAGTCTTAGAGTATTTTCGTCATCTCACGTATACTCTTTTTTTTTTTTGTTATTTTTTTCTTTTTTTTTTGTTCTTTCTTTATTTTTTTTTTTTTTTTTTTTTTTTTTTTTTTTATTAGCGCAGTGTATTTTGGAATAGTATTATTTTGTTTTGACATGCTTTAGGCCGCAACAAATGTTAAAAGATCGTATTACACTTGGCCAGGTTGTCGTCGTGTGGGCGCGCGTGCGGCGGCGGTGGCATCAAAGGCAATTTGTTAGTAATAGGAAATATATGAGATAATAATGGTTAAAAAGGAATTTTAATGGAAAGAAGAAAAAAAAAAAGAAAGAAAAAAGAAGAAGAAGAAGAAGAAGAAGGAAAGTGTTTAATTAGGATTAAGAGAAAATGTTGTACATGATGGAAACCGGATAGTTTCTTCAATTCAATGGTTCTAGTCTTCTCGAAGGTGCGAGCTTTCGTCGACGCGGATCTTTCTTCATAATAATCATAATAGAAAAGCAATGCTGAACGTATTTTCACAGATATAAAAATTATCCGACATATTCAGTATTGCTTTTCCTATCTATTATATTTGGTTAAATTCACTAATGTTTTGGACTAATCGTAAAAATAATAAAAATAAATTTTAGAAAGGTCGCTAAACTACGAGCATTTGTAGAATAGATTGAAAAAAAAAAATGAACCAATGAGTGAAAGGAGGACATGGGATAAGGAGAAGGGATGGATTTCTAAGATAGGAAGAATTAGGTATGAATGTATGTGTAAATATGCCGTCCCACGTCACCTACTACGCTTTCAAGGCTTTGCGTTGGCGTATGTGCGTCGACAGTATCATCGCTTCCTGTTAGGATAGCAAATGGTTCTGAAGCCGCGTGTAAGGACGGCGGAATTGATGGTTGTACTTTAACAGATCTATTTACATCCCTTCGTCTTCTGGATGCTGTTGCTTTTTCACCAATTTTTACGGTACTCAATACGGTGCTAAATTCTCCGGGTCTTCGACCAGAAACATAAAGCGTAACCACGCTAGATTCAGCTTTCGAAATGGCAGAATTATCTTCTTTTTTATCGTGAGACCTATCCCGTCCGCCTCGAACCCTTGATGGTTTTTCATATTCCTCGAGATCTTCGTCCGAGTATTCATAACTATCTGGTTTATAATCCGAATCTGCTGGTTGATGCCGCCTTTCAACTTCACCCGGTAGAGTATTACTTTGGGTTAACAATGGAACCGCGGCGAACAAAGGATCCAATAAAGGATTTGAATTTGGTTGTATTTGCTGTTGGGGTTGTTGAAGTAGCAATAGTAAAGAATTTAAATTTGCTGCTGGTAATGTTGCCGTTGGTGTAACTACAACAGTGTCCGTGATAAATTCCGTTGCGGTTATGATGTCGCTTGAGGAGTCTATTAAAGTAGTTAAGATCTCTTTACCACGGAAGGTAAGTGGAATGACGGTGCTTTGATGTTTCGTAATCGTAGTGACGTAGGTAGTTGTGCGCGTGTTATATTGCGTAGTGGGTGTACCTTGAGGCTGTAGTAATTGGTTCTGTGGATTTAACTGACCCAGAAGCAATTGTGATAAAAGGATATTTGCAAGAGGTGGATTTGTAGGCAAAGAAGGTCGTATTGTAGAAACTACATTTTCAACTGAATAAACAGTTGTAGGTACGATCACTGATTGTGAAGCTCTCCGACCACCAAAAGTGGTAAGCGTATGAGAAACGCGTGTTGTGGGCGTTTCGTGAAGCAAAAATCGTGTAATCTCAGTTTGACCTTGACTGTTAATACCTGTAGCTTCGCTGACAATAACTACCAGTGGTCGACCATCACCACCTGTTACAGTGCTATACTGAGAAGGACCAAGGACTTCTGTACTAGGTTGAGCCGTTATAATATTGCGTTGCTCAGTGACACCATTATTTACTACAGGTATTGTTACTTCCGTTGGTACATAATGAGTTACTGTTATGGTCCCATCAAAATCTGGATAAACGATTGGAGATTCCCTAATGTCTTCATGAGATGTTCTTCCTCTTTGGGTGGTTCTTCTGCTACTACTTCCGCTTCTACTTGGAGTTCTGGAAGTAGCACGAGAAGAAGAAACTCTACGTGAAGTATTGATCGATTCCACTTGACTTTTTCCGGAATTAGTTCTTAATCTTGGTGGTCTTGGTTTGACATTATCTGTTGGTTTATTCGTTGGCCTAGTTGTAGTTCTAGTTGGCGTGGACTGTGACCTTTTGTAACTGGATCTAGTTTGTAACGAATCTTTTTCTCTAAGTGTGAATTGTCTGCTATTGCCTGACGTCGGAGACGGTTTTATTCTCGAAGATGTAGTTCTACTATTACCATTACTATTTTGTTTCGTTCTTCCATTAGCTTTATTCGATTGACTCGTAGATGCTTCTGTCGTTTCTGTTTGCGATTTTTCTGGATTATTCGAGGACTTAAAATTCGGCCGTGAACCAGTTGAAGTTCTAGTACGAGAACTGTATCGAGAAACTGGCTTTATCGATGCTTTTGTTGTATCCTCAACGTTCGATGAACTACCAACAACGTCAGTTGTCTCATCGGTTTTAATTGTTATCGGTTGCTTTGATTTTCGAAAACGACTAGTTAATGATCTCAATTGATTTGCTTGACGACGAACTCTTCTTCCTCTTGGAAATGACCCAAATGGTCTGATCTGTGCAATTGGTCCAAGTGTTTTACCATAACGACGATTGGGATTGATATTTGTTGCCGAAGTTTTGTCTTCATGTTCAGAACCTTCGTAATCGTTATCAGCAATCTCTTCGACTGGATCTTCCTCAAGATCTTCCTCGTCTTCGTGATCAGTATCTTCGATCTGATCTTCTACAATCGATTCCTGTTTTCTGCTAAAATATCCACGAGGCGGAAAGAAACCTGCATTTGTTTGACGAGATCTCGTAGGCGTAGGTGGAGTAGGTCTATTATTTAATCGAGAGCCAACATTTCGATTTGGTATGCTAGGCGAATTGGACTTATTATTTCGATTAATAGGCTTTGGAGTTGTACTTGCCCTTGAGGATCCACTAAAGTTTATCGGTCTGCGAAATCTTAAAAGTGGATTCGTAGATCTTCGAGAGGATTCAGTTGTTGTTTGAAGAGGTATAGTGACTGTTTCCCCTTCGTCGGTTTCTTGGGTATACGGTATTTCTTCTGTCACCAAAGTAGTCGTGGTGAATTCGTTGGCATCGTTATCTTGATCGTCTTGCCTGATAGTCGATTGTCCTCGTAACAAAGTAGATGACGCTCTTATACCAGGTCTGTATCTGGACGATGCTCCTGGATATATGGAACTTGAGCCACGTGGTGAGCCTCTCGACGAACCTCTGATAGTAGCAGGTGCACGTCTATTTCCTTGAAGAACAGAGGAGGGTGATATTCTAGATGCTCCTCTACCACGTGCTCCTATTGTCGCTGAATTGATAGTACTCGTTGCTGATGCCGTATTTCTTCTTCCTGAAAATCTTCTCGAACTAGATGGTGACACGGTCGAAGAATATGGCCCGATGGGCGAACTAACGCGTCCTCTTGACGATGCAAATCTATTACCTTTACCAGCTAACGTTGCAGTTATGGTAGGTGTTATATCTGTTCTTGTAATAGTCGTTGCACCTTGTGCACCTTTACGTTTTGGATTAAACGTTGGTCGATTTCTAGATGCGAACGGTATGATCACCGGAGTAAATGATTTTTTCCTCGACGAGAACGTTAATCTAGATTTTTTCCTTGAACTTCGATCGTCCTCTTGTTGATCATCCTCTTCTTCATTCTCTTCGTTTTCTTCGGAATCTTCATTATGACCTGGAGATTCCGTTGTAGAATCTTCCGATAAGGATGATTGAATTACAGCAGGCGACGGCGATACTTCTATAATTCCTATCGATGTACTTGGTAATAAAGTTGATGTTGGTGCGATACTTAGAGTTGGCGCGGTAGATGCAAAGCTTGAAGTACTTTCAATTATTTGTGCGTATCTACCTTCGATACTAGTACCAATAACTTTTGATTGATAATACGTCGTGATTCCATCGTTCTCAATTTGACCTTCGATCAATCGCACCAGTCCAGTTCTGTGACCTGGTGTTGACGATATAGTTTGTTTTTTAGCTTCGTCAATCTTCGTACTAGAACTATTTTCAATAACTTTTGCATACATGCCGTCGATCGAAGTACCAATTTGTTTGGTTGTGAAGTATACAGTTGTCACACCATCAGCATCTACTACACTACCTTTGTTCAATGAAAGTACTCCTGTAGGAAGTACAGGTGTAGCTAAAAGCGAAGAAGGTGTTTCTAAACTAGTTGAACTTTCCATAACTTGTGCATAAAGACCATCGATAATGGTACCATATACGTCAGTCATATAATGCGTCGTAATATCGTCTTGAATGTTACTAGAACGAATGGTCGATATTAATCCTGTTTTAGGAATTTCTACGGCCTTGGACGGTGTTATGGATTTATTTTCTGTTTCTAATCCTTGAACTCCAGGATATAATGGACTACCAATAGCACGTCCGGTCGCTTTTGGTTCCGTAATATTAGGATGAAAGACACTAGTTACAGTTTCTAATCTACTGTTTAAAATCGTTTCGTTACCCGCGTACGTTGTTGTAAAGTATGTATAAGTAGTATAAAACGTTGTCGGTTCTAAAGTAACAATCGAACTTTCTATTAAATCATCGTTATTTTCTTTAGTAGCTGTAGTTGCTTCTAAAAGTGATTTTTCTAGCAATGGAATATTCGACGGTGCAACTTCATTGTCAGCTGTTATCTTAGGTTTGGTATTACTAAACAATTCTTCTTCGATCAATGACACCGAGGATGAGGTCGTATCTGGTCTATACGTCATTATCATTTCTAATTGTAAAGTTGGTGTTGCCGAGACATCTGGCGTTACAACTGTACTAACCGTTTCTTCACGGCTCGTAGTCAAGGTATCGCCACCTTTGTAGAAAGTTGTCCAATACGTGAAGGTTGTGAAATAAGTAACTGGCAATGTACTTGACTCTGCAGGTAGCGCAACCGTTGGCCTTATAGTTTCTGTTACAACGTTCGTTACTGTTTCTAAACGGCTGGCAACATTAGACGTATCACCTTTATACATTGTTGTAAAATAAGTGAATGTTGTGTAACTGGTTTGCAATAGTAACGTTGGTGGAGGTTCAACGTCCTGGTGATTTGATTCTGATAATTCTTGATCTTCCGGCACGGCATTTCTTTTATCCATAACATCTAAAACAGTACCACCTCCGGAACTGGAGGATGAAAGAACATCCGTAATCATTGATCCTAAAATTTCACCATTTATCGGAGGATTTGGTGTCACTTGTCCATTAATCTCAAGATCACGAAGTATATTTTCTGTAAAAGATTGCTGTTCCAATGTCGTTGGAATTTCAGTAAATTCTTCGGTAGTCATTTCAGTGATTAACGTAGTCTCACTTGGATTATTATTAACTTGTTCCGAGGCATTAGCTTCAGCTTGAACTTTTTTCGCTAATAAGAAAGCTTCCTCTTGAGATTTCTGTCTTTGAATAGCTTCTAAATATGCCAATATTTCTGGTGGAACTGCTGGTTTACTAGTAGTCTGTGTTGGCAACGTCGACGATGTAATTTCTTGTGATACAGAAATTGTTGGACTAGGTTGAATCGTTTCTGTTACAACATTTGTGAATACTTCTGTTCTCGTTTCTATTTCCGTTTCGTCGTCAACGAAAGTAGTGGTAAAATATGTGTACGTTGTATAATACGTTTTCAATTGATGTTTCACTATATCAGTTGATATCGCTGGAGTTGGGCTTGGTTCTAATTCGGTTATTGCCTTTTCGGTATCTTCAAATTCATCATCGGGTACTGTCGGTACTGTACTAATTCGTTCAGTGATCGTAGTTTCGTCATCCAGAATTGTGGTCAAACTACCATCTGTAATATCTTTACCTGTAAACTCTGAATATTCCGGAGTTGTTGCTAGATCATCTCCAGCTTGTTGAGAAATTGTTGACGGCAAAATGGTTTGCGATATCTCTGTGGGAGTTATTAGGATAGGTTCTTCTTTTTCAAAAAGACTAGCTACTGCGGCAGATACACCATTGGGTCCAACGGTTTGCGTGATAACATTGGTTTCAACAACCTCTCTACTAGAAATACTTGATGTATCTTTTTGGAAAAACGTTGTCAAATAGGTATAAGTCGTATATAAAGTTTTAAATATTAATTCTATTTCTTCGTCCTGTTTTGTCGTTTGTTCCTGATCAAATTGAGATTGCAAATCCGAAACCTGTTGTGATATTATCGAAATATCTGACTTTGTAGGAAGAATGAAGCTCTCGGTGGAACTTGGTGTAATCAGTTCTGTCAAGAAAGTAACTTCGGAAGATACAACTTCTCGAGATTTCACGGATGTAGTCGTATCGCCATTGCTATCAGGAATGAAAAAGGTTGTATAATATGTAAATGTTTCGTATACGGTGGAGGGAAGAAGTTTTGTTGCAAATGTAATTTGTTGTTTCGAATCGACATAATCTGGTTGTTGTACTTTATTATTTTCCTGATCGTATTCGTTTCTAGATGATCCACCTTTGATACTACGTCCTTGAGGATCCCCCGATATAATATCGTTAGGTATTCCATCGTCAAACGTTGGCAATGCCGAATCAGTTGTTCCCAAAACCTTTCTTGCACTTTCCAAAATATCTTTCAACGTTGTTAAGACGCTATCAGTGGTGTCCTTGAATGGAGTCGTCAATTCATTCATTTCTGGTGATGCTTCTTCGCTAGTAGTTATCACTTGCGGTGTCGTACCAACAGTCATTTCTATGGTTGTGTCCTGTTCTTGTTCATCGTCACTTATATTAGTATATTCATATTCTACGGTAGTATCTTCATCATTGTCGTCCATTAACGTAGCGGTATTAGGGAAGAAGTATACGTTGGAAGATGTATGAATAACTTGAGCATAATTGGTGCCAATGTATGTACCATAAATAAGACTTTTGTAACGAGTGGTAGTACCATCTAAAGATGTCATGGAGTCAATAACTTTAAGAAGACCCGTAGGTTTGATCGAATTTGTTTCCATATCAGGTATCAATAATAATGGATCGGTAGATCTAGAAGATAATTCGATTTCAGGTTCCTCAACGACACTTGGCTGAATGTTACCACCATTTACTATATCCAATAATTCATCTCTCTCATGATTCATACTAGTCTCTATATGATTGTGTGATTTTATAAACGGTAAATCGGTTGGTTTGTGATCACCCGAGACAACGGTAGGCCTAATTTTAACTACTGCTACACCATCGTCCGGTCTAAGCGTAGCATCACCTTTGATCGTTGTAGCTGGCCGTCCAATAGGAGCCGGTGACGTACTAGGAGAGAATACTATAACAGTGTCGCCAACCGTTGTAGTAAAGTCAGCGAACCCATGATAAGTAACCGTTGCCAATGGCTTGTTATCGACTTTTCTTTGGGTTGGTCTTACCGTAGGTTTAAATATTTTAGGAAGACGCGTTCTAGTTTTCGGTAGTTCGCTTTCAAAGAAATCATAATTATTCGAGACGTATTCTTGTTTGACGGTATAAGTCGGTAAATTATCAGTTGGTCTCACTTTAACCGGTTTAAATCTTTGAAGTTCCGTGCCCAATTCTCTTTTACTAAATATATCGTTTTCTCTCGTTAAATCGTCCAACCTTGTTGTTGTCCCTTTATTCTCATTCGTAAATCTACGCTGATTATCCGTAATATTATTTCTTAATAAATCTTTATTCTTACTCTTTATATCTATTTCCTCGATTGCTTTAATTGGAGCATTGCTAAAATCAACTTTAGATTGCCAATCGTATTCCGTTGTTCTCGATGGATATACGACGTACGGACTGGTTGGATCTACCGAAGGTTCTTTATCATAAAATACTCTACTTGAGGTAGACAAAATTCTTGCGTATAAACGTCCGTTATCCAATGTCGTACCAAGAACTTGCGTTGCGAATTCAGTACTTGCTCCGTCTTGTACAAATGTACGAGCAGTTTTTGTAAGGAGACCAACCGGGGGCACGGATTTTCCAGGACGGGCAGATACCAAAAGGACAGTGGTCACACCTGAGATAACGTTAGTTAGAAAAAGTAGGAACGACGATACCAAACGATATTGAATTCGGATAAAAGTTTGGATAATATTTGGAATATATGTGCCGGCCGTAAAAGTAATCGCGTGGGCGATTTAAAAAAAGAAAAAAAATGTGAATAACGCAAAATAAAATGAATAGAATAATATCACCATCACCAAGAGACAGAACATAACGGTCCCCAAAGTTAATAGGGTGAGGTGAAGGGGTGGGGAAGAGAAGAAAAAGAATAACAAAGCAAAGAGAAAATACAATTACACATACACACACATATAAAGAGAGAGAGAAAGAGAAAGAAAGAAAGAAAGAGAGAAAGACAAAGAGAGACAGAGAGAGAGAGAGAGAAAGACAGAGAGAGAGAAAGATAGAGAAAAATAAAGATAGATAGATAGATAGTGTCCGAGGTTTTGAAATGTCAAGAATGAATATGAACAGAGTACAGTGCACGTTTGAACATTATTATCATGGTAGTGTTGATTAGATCCATTGAAAAAAAAAATTATTATTATTTTTTTTTTTTTTTTTTTTTTTTTTTTTTTTTGTTGAGTTTCGTATGTCCGTTTGAAGTTTTTATTTGTCGTATTTGTAATCCGTCCGGTGTTGTTTTATTATGTATTTTTCGCGTAGGTTTTTACAACGTAGGTCGTCGGAGAAGAGACGGAGATGCGGGCGGACGTTGGAGGCAGACGGCATCCAGTTGTTGAGAAGAGTTGAAGGCGGGGAGCAGGCAGGAGCAGTAACAGAAACAGAAAAAGAGATAGACGATTTTAATAGAACAGCTTCTCTTTTGTAATCTACAATACCTGTATCTCTGACATAACGTCGTTCATTTTTAAGCTTGATTTTCATGTATCTCATGTGCTTCGGTAATTAAATTTCTTTATTATTTTATATAATTATTTAATAGTTCAAAACGTTATCTTGAAGAAGCAAGAAGGGAAGGAACGAGACGATAAAAAAAAAAAGAAAGAAAAATAAAAAAAGATAAAGGAAAAAATAAAGGAAAAAACAATATAGAAAATAAACAAAGAACATAATGATAACATGAACGAATATTTATGTATTGGTTAAAAAAATAAAAAAAAAAAAAATAAAAAAATAAGAAAAAGAAAAAGTTTTTTCTTTTCTAAATAAAATTTACACAGTATTCTTTTTCTCACTTCTTTAGAATAACATTCTAATTATCATTCAGACTTTTTTTTCCATTTATATATTTTCTATTTTCTATTTATAATATACTCTTGTATTTTTTGTAAAATTTGGAGAATATGGAAAATAATAAATTAAATCCGTTGCATAAGAGAACAAATAAATCAAGCTTTAATTTTGAAAGTGGTATGCTTATAACAGAGCGATCTGCTTCTTAGCGATATACAGCTCGGAAAAATAGTTAAGTAGTAATTTGTGCCAGATAACAATAGAAAATAATAGCCGTTAGAATTTCGTGCATAGCCTGACCATATTAAAGATTTCAATGAGGGACAGATTTGCAGATAGAAAATTGACCGAAAGTTAGTTTTTAATAAATTCATTCTAATAAATTCAGTCGTATGTTGATTTTTGTATATATTGATTTTTTGTATTCAAAAAAAAAAAATAATAATAACAACAACAACAACAACAACAACAACAACAACAACAACAACAATAATACGATCATCTGATTCGTGTAATTCAGTTTAAAAAAAATAAGATAAAACTTATCTCAGTTAGCGATGATTCATTCATAAAAAATAATTTTTATTTCGAAAGAATTACAAAAAAAGAAAAAAGAAAAAAATAAATAAATATATAAAAGAAGAAAATACATTTTTATTATAATTTATATATTTTTTTATATATATATATATTATGATAATATATTTATAATTAGTAAAAAAAAGAATATATTTTTAATTTGTCTAATTTATTTCTATTCGACAGATTACGCAGATCTATTTAACTAAAACTAATTATGTTTATTAATTATGAAATGGAGATATAGAAATGTTTTTCAGTTCGAAGGCTTATATATATATACACGGCCGCACCTCGCGTCAACACGCACGTATAATGTATAGACATGACAAATTTAATATTCATCATGTGGAGAAAGTAAAATAGATAGAGACAAAGGTTGAAGCAGAAATAAAGTGTTTAGACATAACATTGCTTTCAGTATAATAGAAAATTTAGAACATATATATATATATATATATGTATATATTAGTATCAGAGATACATAAGAAAATGATCGAAATCAGATTTTTAGAGAAATCATTTGTTATTGAGTCGAACATATATGAGTATATATACAATAACGAATTTTTTTAAAGAAAACAGAAAAACAAAAAAGAAAAAGGATAGAAGTTGGACAAAAAAACCTTTGGGGCGCATAAAGACAAGGTGATGTTTTTGTTTGTTTTTTTTTTTTTTTTTTTTTTTTACAATTTACATATATCTCTTAATAATATATGAGAATATGTTAAGCGCAATGTTATGTATATTTGTATATTTGGAAAATTGCCAATATAATTATACATATATATATAATTTATATCTTGAATGTTTAAATACAATAAAATCAATTACAAACTCACCCTGCAAGTCACCCTCTATCCTGGAGGCTCTAATTTGATCATTGTCAAAGTCTCCATCTGTAAATGAAAAAGAAAAAAAAGAAATACATATACATATATATACACACACACACACACACACACACACACATACACTCATTGTTATCACTTTTTTTTTTTTTTTTTTTTTTTTTGATAAACATCATTGTCATAATGTAAGATCATTAATTGTAAATTAAACGATTGTCATATATAGATAGTATCTATTAAATATATATATATATATACTAAGAATATATTAAGTACGTAAGTAAATAGACTGGAACATTAAAACACACATACGCATATACGCATACGTACACACAAATGGTGACAGTTAGAGATCAAGAGATTTGTAACTGTATAAGAAGGAAAGATGAGAAATTCCATACGTCGGGGATACCGAAGACGGCATTCGGAGGCCATGACATACTGTTATTTGACCGACTCCTTTCTTCTTTAAGAGAACGCAATATCTACATTTGTGTCGATCGGATACTCGATGCGACATCTTTACGGATAAGTGATTCTACCAGACGTTTACGAAGAAAGTCTCTACCTACGGATAGACGACGACTATTGACCACCACCACTCGACATATTTCTTCTTGAACAAATCGGTGACATGAAACTTGTGTTGAGTTACAACAAAATTCCCATCATTAAAAATAAAATTCATCGAAATAATCATTATAAATTGTCACATAAACATTATTATCGACTATATCAATATATTCAATATAATAATTTTTAACTGCTTACCTGGTTATAAAATTTGTCTGGTTATAAAATTTTTTTTACAAATTTTTATTATACGATAATATCGTTTGTTTTATTTAAATGACTTGTATTTTTTTTTTTTCTTTTTAAATTTCGATACTAACAAGTTTCTTAAATTTTCTAATAATATCTCGATGACAATGTTAATTTCATTATGAACATAATCGTTTGATAATAATGTATTAAGTAAAGTAAAATAATTATCGTGATAATATGATAATTATTATTTTAGAGATAAAGATCAAATAGAATTTGGATTAATTTTAGGAATTACAAAAAATGATTTATGTGATCTATATTTCTAGAAACATCTTCACATGTGTTATATCCGTTCGATACAAGTTGTATTACAAGAGTTACCGATTTGGTATATAAGTCTCGTTGTAACGGGATCACATTTGCGGTCTAATGGAACTGTGTGTGTGTATGTGTGTGTGTGGGCTATGTAAGGTGGCAGCCCGTGATGATATAGCGGTGAAACTCTGTCGCGTTCAAGACCTGACCCCCTATCACACGAGGTCACACGTCGATTAAACGTTTCTTTGCGATTAAGGATACACTTTGTAGATCATTAAATGCAATAGAAATCCACGATGGATTTTATAATAATGTGCTTTTTAAAATTAATCGTTGATTATTCTTCCTCGAGATTTTTATACAATAAAATTGTTCTTCATTGTCTTCGTTTTTTCTTTGTTGTAAAACAATTTTACAATTTGTTTTTCTTTCTTTTTTTTTTTTTTTTCTTTTTTTCAAATTGTAAAAACTCTTTTTCGTACGATCTTGCATTTGTTTCATTTAACTTTATATAGGACAATTCAATTGTAATTTATCATGGTTATTAAAGTGTCAAATTAAAGTTATAACTTTTAAACGTGATTGTTAACGATTATCTTTAAAAATGAAAAGTAAAAAGAAATAGATTATAGACAGTACATTTTACTACGTGATTTTATTTTGTCTTAATGTTCTTACATGTTTTTCTTAGAAATTCTACTTGTAATGATCGGTTAAAAAAATGAATGACGTAGTAAGAGTAACATAGTCGCTATATTACCTGTTCCCACGACAGAACACTTTCTCTCTCGTACTTGGCGCTTGTGTACCTGAATTCACAATATTTCATGCACTTTTCAATGCTACCGCATGTATAATATAATCGATAATCTATTTGCAAAACTCATTATAACTAATAATACATTTAACATTATTTTTATTGTGAACTCGAGCGAAAAAAAGAAGAAGAAAAAAAACAAACAAACAAACAAACAAACAAACAAACAAACTTCGTATAAAAAATTTGCGGTAGAAAATATCTCGTTCATGGTTCTTTTTTTTCCTTTTTTTTTTTTTTTTATTTATAATTTACTCGATTTGAAACTTAAAATTATTTCTTCGAAGTTTTTAACTTTTTCTTTTTCTTTTTTTTTTTTTTCCTTTTTAATTTACACAAAACAGAAGAGTTTATATTGGAAAAAATTTTTATCAGAAGGCGTTCATTAGATATTTTTTTTTTTATTTATTCTTAATTTGATTTGAAACTTACTTTTTCGAAAGTTTTAAAATCTTTAGAATATATATGTAAACTGTATATATTAGAAAGTTCATCAATTCTTTCGTTTATTACTTATTCGATTTAAAGCTAATTTGTTTTCTATCGTTAAAAATCTTAAAATTCAAGTAAAAAGAGACATTATTAAAAAAAAAAAAAAAGAAAAGAAAACATAATCGATTTCTTCTTCAATCAATTTCTTCCGAATTGAACTTGTCTATTGTTAAAATCAAGTAAGAAGCAAAATTTCACTCACATTGATATTGAGATAGTATTTCCGTAATGAAATATCTTCGCTTCGCGCGCAAAACAATTTTATTCTTTCTTATGATCCTCATGATCGCACGACTATCAATATTTCACGTCGTTCAAAATGTAATAAAAATCTTACGAGAGATCAATTCCTGGTTCGACGTCTCCTTCAAGTTTTATAGTACATACTTTCTACTTTTTCTCTTAAGTCATCGTTTTACAACGTAATCCCTAAGAGTTTTAACCCTAACAGGAACAACGTGAAACAATATTTGATTCGATTCATTTCGGTTCTTTTCCTTTTTATTTTAAAAAATATATTATTTTTTAAATAAACAATTTACAATTCATTGATCAATATAAAAATTAATAATCATATAAAATCTATATATTATAAGGATATTTTATTTATATATTGAAAATATTACTTGATATAATAAATAAAATATTAATATAGTATAATATTAATGATAGTTAATTATATACGCGTACAGTTATATATGGGATATAAAAAAAAAAAAAAAAAAAAAAAAAATAGAAAAAGATCACATCAAAATTGACTGAGAATAGGCTAATTATAGGAGATAATATGATATATAAAATAATTATATATAGTATCAAGAGTAAAATTATGTTATATTATAACTTTCGCGTATACGAGAAGATGTATAATATGGTGAAAGATTCGGAAAGGAAAGTCCATTGTTTTCAGTATTCAAAGTATTTTTTGTTGTTCACTTCGCTATAAATGTTACCATGATAATGAGAAAGGATAGGATTTGTAACCGCACGAGAGAAGAACATCGCATACCAAAGATGTGTTTTAACCGATTGTACCTACCACTTATTCCATCCAGTCGCACGTGTAGCGTATAGCAAATACTATAAAACCGCAAACACAATAAAAGAAGATGGCGCATATTTTACCGAGGTTCTTAGCTCTAGAAATTCTAAATTTAAAACGTATCCTTGCGAATCTAATTTGTAATATATAAATTTAATCATTTCGCATTATCTTTTCTTTTCTTTTTTTTTTCTTTTTTTTTTTCTTTTTCTTTTTTCTATCTTTACTATAAACTACAATTAAATAGCATTCTGTACGATATAGTTATATAATAATATTTTAAGTAGCACATCAAATTATACAAAATTAGTTTCTTATTAAATATTGTGCGACTATATATAGATATATTATAATTATATTCATATTGAATATAAATTATAATAATTAATGTCAATTGAAATAAATCAATATATATATATATATATAGTGTATTTTGTTGACTAATTAAAAATATAAAAACAAATTAAATCATTTATACGAACATCCTCTGGTCTTCACATATATTATATATTCTTTTATGTAATTATTTGAAAAAAAGTAAAAAAAAAAAAAAAGAAATAAAAAAAAATAAAGATAAACTCTATAACTAAGCGGAATATATCCATTCAATTAATTGTTACGTAGCTGCATAATAAATAATAATAATAATAATAATAATAAAAACAATAGAAAAAAAGAAGAATGCAAGGAAATGCAGGATACATAAAAAATGAAAAAAAAAGGCATTAAGGTGTACAATGCACACTCAAGATTGGCTCCTAGATATTTACGGTCTATCGCTCTGTTGGTCAACTTTAAAATAAGGCTCCACTAAATGATTCTTAACTTCTTAATTTAACGTAGCGTGAAGATGTTTTTATACATATACACACATATATAAATATATACATATATATATATAAAAATTCTAACGGGGTATATACGAGGAATGATTTCATTTATTGATCGAACAAAATCTAAAGTCGATTGATCTATGATTCCACTTTCTCTGTAAATACGTGATTTGATTGTCATATTAAATGTTTTTTTGAAAGTGCATATATACCGGCTACAATATCAGCTTTGCGAATATGATTTCTTTTTAAATATTAATAAATTGTTTATTTTTGTGTATACACACATATATATATATATATATATATATATATGCATACACTATATAAGATATAAAATATAATAATACAATATTTAATAAAATAACGAAAGATAGAGAGAAAGTGTAAATCTATACTCTTCGAAAAGCAATCCATGATACGAATTACATTTCCTTCAACATGTTTCATCATATTAATTAAATAATGAAATGTCCATCATTTTACAAGGTGATTCAATGATTCTATAAAAGGAACAAAAAAAAAATAAAAAAGAAAAAAAAAAGTAATAGATATACATGGTGTCATCCGAATGGTGACTTCATAGTGCAAAGTATTAAGTTAAATAGGAAAAGGAAATGGAAAACATTACATGATAATGAAATGTTTACGAGGTGACATCAGGTTCTTGATACCTTAAAAAAAAAAAAAAAAAAAAAAAAGAAAAAAGAAAAGAAGAAAAAAGAAAGAAAAAAAAGAAGAAGAAGAAGAAAAATTACTCTTTCTCGCTTAGAACGAT